GATGGTTTCCTCTCTCGACTCTACGCGAGTCCCGATTAACCGCATCGTCTCGATCGCGCGGTCGATTTTTCTCCCGATGAAAGTCGTGCAGTTTTTCGCCGCCAAGGGTGAAACTCGAATATCATCCCGCAGGAGCGAATCTCATGCGTCGAATATCGAATGCATCTCGAGAGACATCAGACGGGAGAAAAAGAAAGCGAGAAAGAGGGGAAAGTGTCTGGGGTATTTTCGAGTTTAGGACCGCATGAAACCCACGCAACCATCTCCGATCGCGCGTCGCGCGCGCGCGGCCGCGAATTGACCAATCGCGACGATAGGATTAGCCGGGCTAAAGGGGCGCGCGCTGATTGGTATTTGCATAATTCATGAATTATGCACCGGTCACTTTAAAAGTCAATCGCGGCGGCGACTCACGTTGCGCCGCAATTAGGACCCAGCGGACGCGCGCGCGCGGAGGTGCTCCGATGACGGCCAGAAATGCAGTTATCGATCGCCACAACGCCGAAACGGCCGAAACCCGTGCGCGGGTTAAGGTTAAACTCCCCGCGCGCGTGAACGACAGAGAGAGAGAGTGAGAAGGGGGAGGGGAAGGGGAGAGAGAAACCTCGTGCGCGATAACCTTCGACCGCCTTCGTGCGCTGACGCTGCGCGTCGGAGTTCGCTCAGTGTCGTAATGCTCTTCCTCCCCCTCTCCCTCTGTCCCTTCTCTCTCTCATTCTTGTTCGGGATGATCTTTGGTGATACGATTCTGTAACAAAATCGCAAACCGATACGCCTTTCTTGGCAACACACAGTCATAATCCCATAATTATCTTCTATTATTTCATTCGCGGCGCAGAGAGATAAACACCCTCGACACCGCGAATCGCAATTAGCGAGTGAACAATTAGCCCGTTGAGTTTCGCGGCAACTGTCGCCTTGGTCTTGCGCGGAGACGAATCTGCGGGAAACGAGATCGCTCGTACAAGAAGTAAGGTCTCGCGACCGCTCAGACGTCGACTATGCACGACCATGTCTCGCCGCTTGTTTGTTCGCTCGTTCGATTCGTTCAGTCCGCGCGACTTCCTTCCCTTTCGCGGTCGATACGATTTCACCTCGCGGAATGGAGCACCATCGCATCGCCGACCAGCCCATCGCTCGCCCACGCCGAGAGACCGAGAGAATTTTGCCGCCGACCAAGTGTATCACTTCGCGAGAAACGCGCGCCCGCGCGATTCGATTGTCACGGCGGCGAGAGAGAGAGAGAGAGAGAGAGAGAGAGAGAGAGGAGAGAGAGAGAGAGAGAGAGAGAGAGAAGTGAGTGAGAGAGAGAGAGAGAGAGAGAGAGAGAGAGAGAGAGAGAGAGAGAGAGAGAGAGAGAGAGAGAGAGAGCTTCAATTAAAAGCACTTCGCTATTGGCTGCGTGACGAATTGCGTGAAAACTACGATCGAGTTCTCCAACGTTCCGCAGTCATCGGCGGAAAGTTTGCAACACTTTCCTTCCTTCGGCGAGTTCCGCAACACATCCGATAATTGTTTTCCGGTGATTCACCAGCGTGTATCGGACTAATTTATCAAATCGATTTCGATCAAATAATTCCTCCAATATCGGATACGGCTTCGGGAGAATAAATTTTCCTATTGGTTATCGGACGTGTGTTCCAAAGTTCATCCAATGTTAAAAGCATTGCGACCTACTTTGCGGCCGAGCGCGTAAGAAGCGAATCGTAATCGAGCCGTATTAAGCATCTTTGTTTTCTTTTTTTCAGTAGAGCTGAAGAGGGGGGGGGGATAAGCGCATCAAAATTCGTCTAGCAATTCGTAGCCGAATTTGGAAGAGCGCAAGATCGATGATTGATCCGTGCGTACATGAAGCACGCGTAATGGAGTTAGGCAAATCGATAGCGTTTTAATCGAGCGCACTCGGGCCGATTAGCGATCGACCAATTAAGTCTCCGGATTTCCACTCCGGCGACGAGATCAATCGCTGCAAATCGCATTGCACCTGGGTGGTAAACCCTGCCTCTCGGTAGTGCCGCTGACGTGTTTCGAAAACTAATAGCCGATGCGCGCGGATCGCGTGCCGGGTTATTGATAAATTGACGAAGCCCCGTTTTGTCCGAGCGACCGGCGAAGTTCCCCGAACAGCTGTGCGTCGAATTGTCCCGGGGGACGTGTCGCTTTCGGTTGTACATCACCGAGTTGACATGAACTCCCGAGGTGCCGAGATTCCTCCTCATTCATCAACAACGAAAATTGCGTCGTGTGCCCCGAAGCTTTTAATTGCGATGATGCGCGTGCGCAAGCGCGCGCCCATCACTCGCGCGCGGAGGCGTCGTCTTCGTACTTGTTAATATTTCACTTCCGGCGTGTCGCACGGCAGCGAGAGTTCAAGTCAGCCGTGCCGCGATCTAAAAATAGGATATAGATCCACGTGGATGTAAACCCGGGAGATGAGCTGAGTGCTCTCGCGTGCGTGTCCAATGCGTTTTGTGGGATGAATCTCGTCGGATGAAATCGCATACGTTCAAAAGAGGGAGGGAGAAGGAGAGGGAGAGGGAGAGAGAAATAAAAAGAGAAAGGGAGAGAGAGAGAGAAAGATAAAAAGAGAAAGAGAGAGAGAGAGAAAGATAAAAAGTGAGAGAGAGAGAGAGAGAGAAGTGCTGAAATCGCGAATGGAACGGAAGCGGAACCGTCAGTTATCAGTATCGGAACCATTGCTTTCGCGTTCCATCTCGGATGATCCTCGAATATTCACGATTTGCCGCGTTCGACGCTGCTCGCGCGACAGACCGCATTCCGATCCCTTTGCTAATACTGATTTCCCCGCGCGACAGTACACCAAATACATAAAATACGTGATCGAACGGCCACAGTTTAAAGCCAAACGCGCTTTCGTATGTAGTTTTCAACGCAGCGACAAGCGAGGAAACTTAGAAACAGCACGCCGGAGGAAGGGAACTGAGGAGTAAGAGGAGGGGGGGGGGAGGGAGAGAGAGAGAGAGAGAGAGAGAGAGAGAGAGAGAGAGAGAGAGAGAGAGAGAGAGAGAGAAAGGAGGTACGAGCAGCGAGAGAAAATAGGAGAGACAGGAGTACGATTGGAAGGGATCACGCGCTCATGAAAGGATCACTAAAAGGTGGTCTCTGCAGGCGGGAGGCTGTGAGGGAGATAGGGGAGAGAGAGGGAGAGAGAAAGAGAGAGAGAGAGAGACAGAGAGAGACTGAGAAGGTGAACGAGGAGGAATCGGGAGAACGACGCGAGCAGAGCGAACAGGCAATATGGCCGCCGCAAGCGCGGCGAGACGAGCGCCTCCTGGCAGCGCATTTTTCTATTCCCGCCGTGTGAAATTGGTTTTCGACCGTCGTCGAAGTCGCTTCCGAATCGTTCGGATCGAATCGATCGATTTTTAACTTTTGATCCTATCGAGATACACGACGATATCGCCATGCGAATGTTCGACATGCGACGTTACGATATACCTTACGAAATAAAAAAAAAAATAAATAGATAAATATAAGAAAATGATGGAAAAAAGAAAATGACGCTAGTCGAAGTTATACGTAACGTTTTCGCAGACGGTATATCTTGCCCTGTCGCAACTATGATTGTTTACACGGTATTATGTTGACAAAATCGCGTCCGTTGATAACGGTACAAAGTTTTGACAAATATTCAGACGGATAAATTAATGATCTCTTTTGCAGATTCAGTTGCAAACAACATAACATTAAGCTGCTTTTACTTGGCAGTTGCATCATGATGATCAAAGAGCGATGAGGAATCTGTGCCTACACTGCTGTGGAAATTGAAAGATTAAGTGCCAACATTTGTTCTTACAGCGAAACAGCTTTGTATGCTAAATAAAATGTTGTTCCTAATGCCACATTGTGGCATTGCATTTATCTTCATTGTATCGTGTACGCCTCTTACCTTCCTAAATGCCTTTGAGAAAACTTCCAGAGACTTTCAAATATTTTTCCTAGAGTTACGATAAATGATTCAATATTTATGCTCGAGGCGATTGTTTTAGGATTTGATCACAGCCAAGAGAGAAACTTTCCCAAGTCGCATATCGAGACTCAACTGATAAGTGAGGAGAAATATTGGATTTTAGAGGTAAACAGATCAGGCACAAATTGACAACTGCTGCCTTGACAAATCATCGCGCGTCGCCAGAGATATCGTTCAAAAGTACCACCTTTGTTAGTGTACGTTTCCTATATAGGAGAGAACCTGAGCCGTTACAAATAAACTAACAATATAAAAAAATTAAATGTACATTTTCCCCAAACCAAGTATAGTCCAAATATCATAATACCGCTCGACGAATTTTGCTGAGAACAGCCTCGTGCGTTGATCTCTCGCACTAATTTGAAGGAATCTGCGCGATCGCGTCGACGAGAAACTCGTAAAACCGAAGCGACGTGATTTTTCGATCATGGAAAAGCAGCCAAAGTTATGAGCGGCGACGATACGTGTGCTTGACCTGCCCTCGCTTCACCATTTTACCAGCCATTGTTGCCACCATTGGGGACGAAAAATTGCGGATGCGTATGGGATACGTATACAGCGGAGAATATCTCTCGCGGTAGCCGTAGACGTAGACGATGGCTCGGCGACGTGGCGAACGTCGTCGTCGTCCCCGTCGTCGCGACTCCCGACATCGGCTCCGCCGTCCAAGCCCGATTTCCTGCTGCGCGGGGCAAGCGAACTTTTTTTTTGGTTAAGTACGACATGCTCGCTCGCGTCGCTTTCCCGTACGATCTCGTCGCAATTCCACGACGGCGAGGACGTAGAGGTGTGCGCGAGGTCGCGTTCCATGTGCGCCAACGTCACCAGGAGTCTGCGAACTGCGCGTACGACGGCAGGAACCATGACGACGATCGACGATCGACGTAGACGATCGCCGTCGACGACGGGGCCAAGCGCGGCCGGATCGCGATTTCGCGGCGCACCTTTGCGATCCGGATCCCCCCAGCTCGACCGGACAGCATTAACTCTTCGTAGAAGCGTCTCTTACCTTAATGTGACAGGAATACAGAAGCTCGCTGCTAACTCGGATGTAAACACAGGCATTTTTTGACGAAACGGACACTAGGGCAGCGAAAACGACGTGCATACGTGCGCTGCTTACATCGCGGCCGATGCCGATTCACTACGCGAGGCAAGCACTCGTTATTAAATACCGCGGTAAACACGGGAATTCACGATCTCCACGGAAAACATCAATCGAAAACTAGACATGGCAGCCATTCTTCTGTACAAAACAAAGGTTCACATCCACGGACTCGCGAGCGACGAAGCCTCGCACCCAGCTCTCTCCCGAGCGACGGCGCCACATTCGAACGACGGCGAATTCGTATGACGAATTTTCGCGTTGATTCGCGCGTCACCGTGATTCTCCTCGCGAAAATGACCACGTCGGGAGCTTTACGTCACGATACGAAGCGAAAGTGCGTCAGAACGATCGTGCACAATCGGGCAATTTGCGTGGAAACGCATATTTCACGGATGCTCGTTGACCGAAGAATCACCGTCGTAGCCGGACGATGTCGCGACGGTCGAGTCGCAGCGCCATCTCACGGCGATTGCCGCAAATACTACAGCTGTGTATTGCCAACGTCAGGGGCAAGGGGAGCTGAGAGGCCGAGCCGAATCGCACCGAGCCGTGCCGAATGTACTCGGCTCGGCCGAGTTCGGTGGCGCGTAAATCGAGAAGCCGATAAACGTGCGCGCCGTTCAGCTCGATCGGAGGATTCGATTATTCCCCGCTGTCGCCGTGTTCTCCGTGCGATTCTGGAAAGTCGCACGATCGTTCACCGCGCGGTCCGCCGCCGTGCCACGAAAACCTTGTGAGAGATCGTGGTCGTACGAGACAGTCGCCGAGGAACAGGATCGCATACGCGCGACCTTCCTGAACGTGTTCTGTCGTCGGTGAACATATTGCGCTCGTAATGTTGGCACTATTTGTCGGGACGGCGGTCGTCGCTACCGACCGCCGAGGATTATTGATTTCCTCGCTTCGCCGCGTATATATGTCCTTCGCGTAAATATCCGCGAAACACCATGTGCCGGCGCGATTGAGCAGGTATCGTCGATCGGAAAAGCTCCTCCGTGGAGCGACGAGAGACGCTCCACGGAACGGATCGCGAGAGAGAAAGAGAAAGATCGTTACGAGAAATTCCTCGCGCGAGAAAAGGAGAAAAAACCAGAGTTGCGCGAAAGCTCGAGGGGGAACAGATGGAATGTCGGCGGGGCAGAGAGGGGCGGAGGGGGAAAAGAGAGAAGAAAAACGAAATAATAGTGGAGCCGTGCTGCAGAGCCTTGAGAATAAACTCACGAATGAACGGGATGGTTCGAATAATTACACGCGTCCACGGCTTTGACTTGGGCGGATGATATGCTTCGCGTGCTTGAAGTAGCATTTCCCTTCCTGATGTGCAACTTGATACGTTCGTCGATTTGCGACATGCAGTTTTTATCACACAACTCTGAAACTTAATTTATTTGATAAATAATAAAGTACATATGAATACAACATAAACGCTAAAATAATAATGATAACAGATAAATATCGTTAATAGTTTGGTTGTAAAACTATTACTGATATTTTCAATTACATCGGTTGCTGAAGAGGCTTCATTGCTCATTTTTATCTTGTGTTTGTAGAAATGGCGGATACGGATCCACAGTTCAAACGCTTTTTATTGCCAGCAGAGGAAACTCTGTTTGAACAGTTGCTAAGATTTGGGCTCTATGTGGGTGCTGTATTTCAAATAATGTGTTTGCTAGCTATAGTAATCTATCAGGCAGGTCCATCGGATGGTGTAGCAGCTTTAAAGGTAAATTGTCTTTTTATTTTGTCATTGCTAAGAATATAACTTTCCTACTAAACATCAAGCAGCAGTAACTATGTTATGAATGTTATAATTTTGTACTCAATGTAAAAACAGTATAATATAAATTATATATAACACTGACATTGTTGAATGAGAAATTATAACATTGATATAATTTTATTTGATGTTTACTGGGTTCTTTGTTACTTCCATCATAATAGATAATATTAATTGCAGGATGATCCAAGCGACGTAGAATGCTCTGAAAATAGCCCACAAGTAACACCGAGAAGACCTCACCGGCCGCGCAAGCAAGAGAAGAAAAAGAGACGTTAAAATACTGACTACTCTACCGAGTGATCAAATGTCACATTTTATTGAATGATATTTATATCTTACATAAGACTGTGAAATAATTCTTTAGTTATATGTATTTGTTATAAGTTATCTATTAAAAAAACATTTTTCCAGTATAATGCCAATCTTATTAGAATAACATACTATGATATAAGTACAGTAAAGTATTATGATATAAGCATAATTTGATAATTTCTAAATGCGGAAGCGATGAAAGTGCAGGCAACGAGAGGCACCTGTACCCATGTACATAACCTCTTAATCAACAAGAGCCACTATACAAATCGGCGTCGTGAGATGCGATGCATTTATACGGTATTTATTAGAAGTGCAAGTGCGATCGAACAATGTCTCACAACTAATACGGTATTTTTGATGATTCGCTCAGAATGATGCACAATACAGCAACTTTATCGCCCCAAGATATCTTGGCCGAGGTTAGGAAATTTATTTCCGGAACCGTTAGGCCTTCTCATAATACAAATACGCAAGATATGACACGTACAGCGTTATTTCTGTTGAAAAATGTACCAGCCACAAGAGCTGCCGTGCTCGAATATTTTTGTAACGTATTCTTTATCGCAGTGACAAAATATGTTCGTCAGATCGAGGTATGTATACATGGATATTTTACTTACAATCCGTTCTTATGACATAATAATTATATATTTTAATCTTCACAAGACAAATCAAGCTATAACAATACCAGAAGAAAGTATTATAGCAGAGATTCATTCTGTTCTGAGCGGTTTTATCAATGGAAATCCAGAAGCATGGGCACCTATCATATCCGCATGGTCGTTGGAACTGCTTGGTTTGTATTTAATTTAAATTAAGTTGAACAGTACGATTTTCTAACTTATAAGATATATTTTGTCCCACAGGGAAACTGTCATCAGATTATTCAAAACGTGGTAATTTGCCAGCAAAAGCTGGCATTAATGATTTTCTGCAGCAATGGATGTCATGCCGTGCAACACGAACTCTTATAGATATCACGTCTCAATGTTTGCAGTGTCTTATACATTTTGACACAGAGTCTTGCATCAAGGCTTTGTTAGATACCAGTGTGTTACATAGCCCATACTTTGATTGGGTTGTTGCTCATGTGGGAAGTTGTTTTCCAAATACTGTGATTACTAGGGTATTGTCATGTGGTTTAAAGGATTTTTGTGCTGGTGGTTATGAACATAATATCAAGAATTCAAAGTTGAATTCTGTTGTTGGCATATTAGGACATTTAGCAGGCAGTCACTCTCAAGATATCAGAAGCGCATTGTTGAATTTATTTGAGGTAAACCTCTGTCTCATATCAGATGTGTGTGTGTATATATATATATATATATGTATTCTAGTTTAATCTATAAATTAATAGATCCGTACTGTTTTTTATAGTGGAGTTTGGTTGAAGATGTAAATCTTGATGATGATACCAGGAAGCAGAAACTGGCCACAGTGCCATTCCTTTTGAATCTAGCTTCACTGTCACAAACTCTCTTAAAAGCTCTCACCAGTGATGTGTTACAAACGTGTGAGTTCCCTTTTCTACTCATATGTCTGTAGTCGTGTATAACTTAATGTAAATTATCAGTTATGATACTGTGTAAATTTTTGTTACAGTAAAACCAGACATCATACCGCGTCTCGCGTTGTTTGCAGCAGATTGGTGTAGATACTTCGAGAACCAGCCGGAAGCGCTGATAGACTTGACGGTACATTTAGCATTGGGATGCGAACAAGGCGCGTTGCAGATAATAAATATGCTGTTAGACACTAGCTTAAACACGAGCAACGTCGGCTACCACAGCGTCAATGCCGCGCAAAATGTAAAGAACATTTGTCGGGAAATATTAGAGTTGATGCTGCAAGAGATCGATCTTACGTTGAGATCACACGGCCCTCAGACTGCCAATGTTGCTCTGTTGAATTCCATCAAGCAAGATATATCGTTGTTAACGCCAATGTTGTTGAATTCCAACCCATTACGCGTACAAACCGCTGTTAGACTATTATGTTTTCTCAAAAGCCAAAACCAAAATATAGTAATTTCTATGGCGGCTTATATGCTGGTGAAGGCGCAAACGACGTTTCATCTTGCCGCTTTGTTGCGTCTTATTACCGGCAACATCGTTTTGTTCCCCGTGAATAAATCCGGGTCCGAAAATATCCTTGCTAGTAGTGATCACTTCACGCTGGTTCTGGAGCAAGCACTCAGAGAGATATATTATAAAAACGTTATAGATAAGGAGGAATTGAGACAGTTATTCCAAAATCTTATCATACTATTGAAGCAAGTATTGAGTCAATCGCATTTAATGCAAATGAAATTTTGTGATTTCTCTCACGTATGTAGATTATAATATTCTTCTTTTCGATTTGATTTAGATGGGAAAAGTCGGATAAAGCAGTGATATTGCAGTCAAAGATGATCACCAGGGCGCTCAGATCGAATTTACACCAAATATCTTGTTTGTTATCAAAGGCTACTGACTTTGATTTGGCGACCGACATCGCTGTTCTGCTCGATCTGCTAAGCACACCTGAAAAGGATCATACTCTCAATGTGGAGCTTATGCTGAGACTAACGAGAGCGTTCATTCATTATTTCTACTTGTGCATCGAACAAACCGGTAATTCAAAGTTTCTGCAATCTATAAGTTTATTTAAATGCTCACGCGAATACATGTAAATTATGTACAATTCATTATTTCAGATATTATCAAGAAACAGCAAGGAGTAAAAATAGTGTGTCATTTGTTGAAGGATCTGACTTGTTATTCTCCGTGCGCGCGCGTGTTGGCACTTAGAGAGATATTAGGAAACAGTATTAATAATGAGCAGGCCAAGTGTTTTGGGGCGAAAGAGAAATTTGAGCCCCATTTTGAGGAAATGTTACTGTTACATCAGAACCATAAACAGGTAAATCCATTAAAATATGACGCAAGTATACTTCACAGAATATGTATAAGATGTATCTTGTTGCGAATATTTCAATGTTATAATCGCAATGTTATAATCGCAATGGTATAATCGATATATATAATCCGAATAATCTCGCACCTCTGCAGGTGACAAGCACCATGTTGGCACAGCGACATTCGTCAGTGTTTCACGCCGGTGTGATAGGACACGGCCCACGGAGACCATCGCCTGAAAACGCTATCGAAAAGGAGATTATTGCTTCGAATAAAATGTTACTGATAGACGTTATAAAGGTACAGAATGCGATAGAGTTTACCATGCAATGTATTTAACCGACCAGCTAATTACGTAGCATAACGTTTAATTTTCACATTTTTAGGCATGTTGCAGTAATCAGGAGTCGGACCGATATCCTGTCAACTTGGACGCTCTGATGATGGTCAGTTTGTTGTTGGTCGAATTGGTATCACCTGACGTTATGTACAATGGTCTTCCATGGCCTGATGAGGAATTCACCAAGGTAATCCTCACTTTCTACTTTCTTTCATGAAGCGCTTCATTAATCGAATCGATCATTCTCTGATAATAATATAATGAATACAATTGTCGTAGGTGACGATCGAGAGAGATCTGCAAATCCGTCGCAAGTTCAAGGACGTACCTCTCCTATGGACGTTGCTAGAACTGACCGCCTGGTATAGACCAGCGTTGGCATACAGCTCGGTCTTGTTGAGAGGAATCGCTGCGACTGTCATGGCCAACTGGAACACGGAAGAGGGTGTTTCGCTCGTTAATACAATGGCACTGGGTCAATTATTACCGCCGCCATTAGCGAGTATCCGAGATATCTTGCCTGTGTTGGAGCCGCATCAGGTATTTGATTGTGAACCTTCGTCGATACTGCAGTGTCAATCATCTTAGCTGCAACAATTAAGAACGTTGACTTTAAAGTCCAATATGATATTCTGATCTGCGTTTTCAGATAAATACGGTGATGAAGGAATGTGTATGGGCGTACATGCGCGAACATGTACCTTCCCCAGCTTTGTTCACTCGGACTGATGGCTCTAACATAGCTTGGAGAGACACTGACACGTCAACACCCAATACGCGCTTTACGGATACTCTTCGTTTGGTGCTGCTAGCAAATATTCACACTTTAGGATCTTTGTACTCGACGTTATTTTATAATGAGAACAAGTAACGAGTGTGTGTGAACAGACGTCGCATTTCAGACGGGATTTATATTGATTTCGATTTGTATATAGTATTGATAAGACGTTACCCGAATCGCGTCTCGCATCGTAAGTATACCAAATTTGAATATCAACTTTCTTGTACGCGTTATCGTAAGAGGGACAAATATAATATTTTATCGTTAAATATGTATTATACTTTATTGGTTTTGCACATACCTATCACGCTTAACAGAGCAGTCGCTTTCTGCAAAAATGTAAAACCTTGATATCGTGTCGAACCAAGTATGATGATTAATACAAGTATTGATTAATACAAAACATTATCAAAATGTCCCATTTGATGAGTAAAGCGTGATTTGTATTACTTTACATTACATACACACACACACGCGCGCGCGCGCACACATACATATACACGTGTTTTACGCGCGATTATATAAATATTAAGGTTAAATATTTTCGCAGATTTCATGTTGAACACCATTAACAGTAAGTACATTTGGACACTCAATGTTTTTCTAATACATTGATATTCTATAACAATACTTATATTTCGCGTAACTTTTTCTCCTCTTTTATAACAATCCTACTATAAAGTAGAAAATGACAATCACACTATATAAAATAGGAAGTAATCTTTACTAGTTTCTTATATGTGTGTGTATACAATTATTTTTTAGATATATAACGTATTACACATAACGCATGGATGTTTTCCTTCTTTTCTTCTTTGCGATGCAATCTTTTCTATTGTACGATTCCCCGTTTCTTCATACTTATCCGTTAATATGAGCCGTTATCTGCTCATGTGTGGAAATAGAAATCCGATCTATAACCGATCCCTTAAATACAAATACTCGGAAAAGGACCGTAACGCATAGCGCGTAACAAAATATCAACGAAGTCTACGGGGAGGGATAAAACAAGGTAGACAAAAAAAAAGTATATTTTAATTTTTATAAAAGCACATTCTCTCCTAAATACATATATAAGAAACATATTAATTTACTTTGTTATCATTATATCAATACAGGAATGACGGTGCCTAAGATGAACGAACGCTGTTCGAATTGCTGCACGAATTACCCTAGGTGGGTGTCTCGTCCTGACAAATGACTATGCCATCGTACGCAACGATTTAATTCATACAAACATCGCGATCTTGTTCGCGCGTCGTTGAGTCTTCACGTGGCTCTGTGTTTCATACAGAGCCAGAAATACTAGTAAAAAAATGATGAAAATATTTAGTTACTTTCTTACTATATGTACACTGCTCGTTGTACGAGAGATATTACATCTTGCGTGCAGGTACGGAATATTCTGCAGAGATATCTTCCGTACTTGCCATTCACGAGCATTTCAATGTTACGTCCAAATTTTTTACTCTCTCTCTCTCTCTCTTTCTCTTTCTCTCTCACACTCCTCTCTACACTTTGTCAATGTATTTATCCCCTTAAAGATCGATATACCTTCAACGTGTATTGTTCGACGTAACGTAGGATTCTTAACGCTTAATGTAAAAATAAACAGTACGCTCTCTTCTTTAACGTATAAACAAAAATTTTACTTGTAAGTGCAACGTAAAACAAGTATTTTTATGGACAGGTAAGTTTAAAGTATGTCGCGTCAACGGTCAACATATCGGAAGTTTCCGCGTAAGAAAAGCGCACGTAAGAACCTTTTGTATCCTTCTGGAAAGTATCACTGTGTGTAATTTTTCTTGAGCAGAATATCATCGACAGCGGTATCAATGGTAGTAGTTAGTGAATAATGTGTAAATGTATAAGTATGTATGTGTATGTGTGTGTGTGTGTGTACATGTTGTGACTTTATATGTATCACGCGGGACCCTTCAGCTGGCACTGGTGCGTGTGTTTATTATTCCATGTATGCCTGACATACATACGCACGCACGCATGCTGTCAACTTGACTTACTTTACAATAAATTATTATTCAGTTCTTTTTAGAATTAAAAAAGTTCACTTTTCAAGTCTATACGTGAATTAAGTTTAGAAGAGTAACGTGCTCATGCCACCCATTTCACTTTGCTCCTTAACGAAGATCTCGAAGTACTGGTATATGATTGTGACAGCGAGCAAGATACCGGTACCAGAGCCGATCGCGCCCAGGAAATCTGCTAGCACAGAGAGCGCGCCGATGCATAATCCGCCGAATGCCGCGGCAGTCGGGATGTAACGATTCAGCTCGCGGATCATGGAGTTGTCCCTGTGGCCTCGCATTACCATCTGCTGTTCCCTCAGTTGTTTGGCGACCTGCAAATTCAACGATGCGCATCGTGAATAGCACAGTCTTAAGCTGCTACCTGTGTTAGAATTTGCATTTTGATACTGACATCCTTTGCCGAGCTTCCGGAAACTTCGATCCACGTCTTCGAGAAGAAGGCGCACGAGCTAAGCATGAAGAGAATGTATAGCACAGCGTGTACGGGATCCTGAACGATATGACCGACTGATTCCGGTGGTGATAAGTAATAACATAATCCGCCAACCGGATACGATCTGGCTGGGCCACCGCCGCCGACATCTGACCAAACGCCCAATAGATTCACTATAAGATTGCCTTGAAATTTGAGGGCCAACATCTGAGAGATAACGTATAGATTAGATACGAGAGCCGACTGGAAGATGATCGGGATATTGCTGGTATAAAACAACTTGATTGGATAGCTGCTATACTGGCCGCGGTATCTAGCAGACTTGATCGGAAGATCCACACGGAAGCCCTTGAAACAGCCAAGAGAAATTCATCAGTTATCAAAGAAATTGTGCAAATTATAAAAAAAGTTGTTTATTATTATTGTATCAACGACCTACCTGGAAGTATATAACGATAGCAAACACCAGAATAGTGGCGAGAAGATTCATCAGATTCGGAAGATTTTGCCTGTAAAATGCCTCGCGGAGAGCTCGGACTTTGTCCTGCCTAGTGGCCAGCAAGTGGAACAGAGCAATTATGGCTCCTTCGAATTCTGTACCACGACCTGTTGGGTGTTGAAAAGAAATTTTCAAGTCAATGTGTATATAATGTTAAAGTTTAAGTGTGCAGGGAACATTACAACCTCAACTTATCTCTTATAACAAAGTAGGACATACCAGTATTAACTGTAGCTGGTGAAAATGCCTTCCAAACTATGGTCTCACAGATATTGGTGGCTATGAAGAGCGATATTCCACTTCCCAATCCATATCCTTTCTGGAGCAACTCATCCAATAGCAATACAATAAGTCCAGCGACAAACAATTGGATGATAATCAAAAGACAGACACCAGCTCCAATTTCTGTAGGATCTCCATACATTCCAGTCATTACATAAACAATAGCTTGTCCAACAGTGATAACCATGCCAAATACTATAAAAAGACACGAAAAGTACAATGTTATATTTTATAATTATGTCAACTGATACTGATACTGATAAAAGTATAAAACACAATATAGTCACATTTCTGAGCTCCATTGAACAGTGCTCTATCTTTTGGGGTATCACCAACTTCGATAATCTTTGCACGGTCCAGCAGCTGCATGATGAGACCAGAAGTAACAATTGGAGAGATACCCAATTCCATCAACGTTCCTCTGTTTGACGCAAGTATTACACGGATCCAGTAGAAAGGATCTGCGCTGTCTGAAGACATGATACCGAACAATGGAATCTGCAAATAACAAAATTATGTATTTGTGTGTATTTTTTAATTAACTTGTAAACTACTTCATTACTGTTCCAGGTGACAGTATTACTTATTGACTCACCTGGCAGCATACTAAGAAAATAAATAATGTGATTGCCGTCCATAGCATTTTCTCCCTGAACTGAATCTATGAAGAAATAATGATACAATAAGTTCACATTAGAAAATGTGAATCTGTGATGTGATCTGTCACATAAATAGAAAATAATTTTGTACATTCTATCAGTATTGTCTCACTGACAGATGGTAAGGAGTATTTCATTGTGCCTGAGGCTCACACACGTATGCGACGTAATCGCGGAATTTAGGAAAAACGGTACACGAAACTGTAAATACAAGAGAGAGAGAGAGAGAGAGAGAGAGAGAGAGAGAGAGAGAGAGAGAGAGAAAGAGAGAGACAGAAATAGACTACACAATCGGTGAGGCCGATTTACCTTTCGTTGCGGCTTCGCTATTTCCGGCAGTATACTGCAGAACGGCTTTATCACCTCGAGAAACTTGACTGAAAGCAGAGAAGGTAAATCATTTTGGCGCATCTGGATGCAAAGGACTCGTACGGAGAGACGCGTACGGGCGGTAATTCGCCTCGCCAACAATATGTTGTACGTCCGCAAGAGGTTACGCGCACGAGCGAGAATCTTTTCGGCAACCACATCGTGTTTTATTTCTGATCGCGATCAGTGAGCATACTCACATCCCATCTTGGCTGCGTTGATGCGACTTTCTTCCGAGCACTACGGATCGAGTGACGTTCCTACACAGGATCCCGAGAAATAACACCACCGACAGACCGAGCAGCCTTTCGTACAGCGAGTGTATACGAGCAAAGGTGGCCGCGTATGCTCGACTGGCAAAGCGTAGCGAGTCGTGGCTCACCCCGTCGACACGTATCAATACGCCACTGTCACGTGACCTGATGATGTTGGCCGGCACACCACGCTCGCACTTCTGCTTTGGACGTCAGATGGCGTGGCGCCCGCTCGGTCGGTAAGTGCGTCAGCTGTTTCTGTCAGCTACTGTCAAACTCTTGTCATGCGTTTTCTTCTGTCACTAGCTGTATGCTAACTGTACAACTGGTACAATAGGTGGTAGGTTTTAGGGGTGTTACTCTGTATATGTCTATCGATAACTACCGGTTCGGCACGTTAATGATATTTATCTCTTGCACGGGCGACCAAGATAAAAAAAGGCTATTCTGCACATTATTTTTATTTAAATTTTTGTCAGAATTATCGCGGGGTATAAATATTTATAATTGCTTGCTTCCGGCTCGCATGATTGAATATTCGTGCTTTTTGGTCAAGGGCTCGTATCTTATGCAGGAAAAGACACCGACTGTGACAAACGATTTGTTCCAATTGATTAATTTATCATTTTTGTTATCTTTCTGCTATTTATACAGTCGCATATATATATATATATATACACATGTTTGCAACCGTTATCTACATATTCATATGTGCATATGTATACTCTATCTATATCTTATGTTTCTCAATGATTGTTCTCTTTCAACACACACTACGAATTTTCTTTTCACGACTACCTTCGATCAGTTTTTTTCTTTTAAAGTATTTCAGTTAAGATCAAAGCCTGAGTCTCAAAGATTAAACGAAAGTTTTAGAGCAAAACATCTAATAATAGATCTTTTTAGTTTTTAGTGGATACACTTATTTCCTTATTCATTTCCAAACGGGATATGTGCTTATTTATAGATATATAATTTAATTCAAATAATGTTCGTCCAAATATTTACGTAAACACATTTCCTTTCATTATGTCATCTTGCACCTAACTTATTTAAGAGAAATAATCACTATATTTTTAGCGCTATAAATTATCCTTCAATCAGTCCTACGATCTCTTTCCATTTTCCTTTATCAAAGATCATTACCGCGATAATCTATAAGTAATATCGATCGCCGTGGGGCATTCTGCTTTTGCGCGCGATTGAATGTTACTATTACGAGTACATTCGCGGACTTTATTGTTAAAATAATAATTTTTGATGTCTGAATGGATATCTGAATGATTTGTCAATAAGTTAATTTATACCGGCCAATGAAGTAACCTTGTTTTTATCTTCGTCTCGTAATGAAGCGTAAAACAGCTTCGTGGGTTTTGACGAAACCGGTAAAGGTAGGAGTAGCCGTATATAAGTACTGCCTTCTAACATTTAGGTTGTATTCCTTTCTTCCAACCAACCCTGATAGCGTTCCTTTCGTATTCTACGTTACAACATTGAATACTACTACAACTAGTAGTACAACTACATTACGACATTGAATATTCCGCTGATTATAACGCATATTACATCATGAAACGTGCAATTTACAAATATACATCATTGGCATGCATTCTTGTTGCCTTCGTCTGCAGCGGGTAAGTGAAAGGACATCGTTATCGTAATTTAGCGAGCGTCGTACATACGTTAAAAAGAAATGGAACAGTCAGTGCTGACGATGCGTATTGTGTAATATTTTCTCTGGTTTCGGAAAGATAAACGAACCTGAATTTAACTGTACGCGTGTTATACATTGTAACGCTAAATTATAAAATTACAAAAAAAGAGAGATAATCAGTGAGTGAAATTCAATTATATAATTATCAAAAAGATCTATTGAAAGTTGAATGACTGTAACTTATTGTTGGCAATAATAATCATTATCGGAGAATATACTTGCATTCCTATTGTATTGTAAATATTTTTCATATATACAACCATGCCAATGCGATATTTACAAATCTCCGCAAATTCTAACTCTTGATATTCGTAAAATCCGTATGATGTTCCGCGTATGATGTTCATAATTTTCCATTGTCGATTGCAATATTATTTGCAGAAGTTAAATGTGAACACATTGAAAATTCTTATTTTTACCCGAGAATCGCGTGTGCAAATAATTTTGTAATTTCTCCTTGATTCGCATAAATATATTTTTTAGTTATTTACATTTGCTTCTTCATCAGAATTTGCTGGATAACAATCTTGGGATATCTATACAAAGTTGTTGCGATATTGGAATTTTTTAGTGTTTTTAACATTTACATTAGCGAGATTATTTAACATAGAGCTTTTGATAGTCGACCGACCTTTACATATCATTCGTTCACGATATAATGCAAAGTATACTCAAACGATAAATTTTTGCTTGTGAAAAACATCGTCATGGCTTATCTCGCGTGCTATATCCCTTTATCTTATTCTGTAAGTATAATTCTTGATGATTCATTAACTTTCATCATATACTCGAACAATTTATTCAGCCGTGCGGCTCAACAATTCCATTCGTTTGAATCAAATTCAAACAATTTCTCTCGAACACTTCGACTTTCGAACTTCCTCAATCGAACCTGTTTGAATCAGCCATATATTTGTTTCGAACGAGAGAGAACGCATATCGACATAATGGCAACGTAAATATCGTTTGTTAACTCATTTCATTCCATAACTCACGCATAGTGAGTTTCGTCTCGTCGTTTATTCTTTACACTTTTTACACGAGAAACAGAGTGTCAAGTGACAAGTGCTTCAATTTTTGATGGAAAAGATGACAATAAAAAGAAAATACAAAAGAGTGTAAAAAGTGCATGCAACGAGAAGATATCTTTTCGTTTTGCTGCACTTTCTGTACTCATCGCAATTGCGTTTCCATTTTTCTTGTCCTCCGTCTGAAATAAATATTATTTTGGTTTTAAACACAGAAAACGTAACACAGCATAGTCAGAAGAAATGAATTTTATTCTTCGTAATTTGTTTCATAATGTTATAATTGATGTGAATATTTAGTGATGTGTAATAATTGTAATAGTTTTATCAAATCAAATCTTATTTAATTGAAAATATATAATTAAAGTACGTATTATATGATGTAGAAAAATTACAAAATTCATTTCCGAATGTCATGTAATGTATACAATATGAATATTACAATTTATTCATCTATATTTTACATAGGCAAGTTGTTGGCAAATCACATGTGTGTGTCGAGAGAGTGACAGAACCATATGGTCTTTCTGAAGGCCCTCATTGGGATCATCGTACTCAGAAATTATATTTTGTTGATATACATAATCGATACATACGTAGACTAGACCCTGCAACAAATGCTGTAACTAGTGCATACATAAGTAAGATTTTTTATAAACAATATTGCTTTGCTTGTATCACAAGATAACATAATCACTCAATGATACTTTTTCAGAAAGTGGTACTGTTGGTGTTGTTGTACCTGTGGACGATTCTACTGATCAATTTGCAGCAGGTGTTGGAAGAGATCTTATATTGGTTACATGGGATGATGAGCAGAATGAGACGAATGTACCAACTGAAGTACTATGTTCTGTTGATGTGGGAAATACTCAAACAAGAATCAATGATGGAAAGGTTGACTCCTCAGGAAGATTTTGGCTAGGTAACTAAAAAAATATTCCAGTATCGTCACATTAGTTATAATTAATGAAGATGTGCTGTGTATTTTTAACAAATGTTAGTTATATATCAGCTAATATTTTTTACAATAGGAACTATGGGTGAAAATGGCAAAGGAAATTCAATTCCTAATATAGGATCATTTTATCGCATTGATGATGACTTGAAGCCCAAAAAAGAAATATCTCCTGTTTCAATAAGCAATGGATTAGCATGGAATATCGAAGATGATACTTTCTATTATATTGATTCACCTGAACGTAATGTTGTGGCGTATGATTATAATCCAATTAATGGAACAATATGTAAGAGGCCTTAGTTATATATATTGCTATTAATTATAATATTAGATTGTAGCATAGATCTAGGATAGACAATATATCTAAAAATGATCTGATAAAGATAAATATAAAAATAATCTTAAAATTATCAAGTAAATTTAGCTAGATGTTTATAATTCGTATGTTTTAGCTAATAAGAGGATTGTGTTCAACTTGAACAATACTAATTTAACTGGAGTGCCTGATGGAATGACCATAGATACAGATGATAATCTTTGGATAGCACTATTTGGTGGAAGTCATGTAAGTATACAAAATAATAAGGCACAAAAATATAAATATACAAAATGATAAGATATGTTTAAGAATATAAGAAATGTAAAGTTGTTACGCAGATATTATATGTGATATAAAATATATATATATGTATGTATGTGTATGTGAAGATTACATATTATTTAAATATAAATATTTTGATCAGGTTATCAAAGTAAATCCGAGAACAGGAGAATTATTGTGTCAAATCAAGATTCCAGCTGAAAATGTAACTAGTGTTACATTTGGAGGCCCGCTTCTTGACATTCTTTATGTGACCACCTCAGGCAAGGATTTAACTGCAGAACAACGAAAGGCGACTCCTCATGCGGGTGCTGTATTTGCTGTAAAAGGCTTAGGAGTTCGCGGAAGTATCGCGAATATGTTTCGGATGAAATAATGAAAGCAGACGAGATGGTTTTATCAAAACAAATAATACATATATTTGAAAGCGTATGTTTTTCCCTATGGGGATTTGTGCACTTTTACGTATTTTTAAATTCTGTATATCGTTAAATAATAATGTTAAATGATGCAACTGAAAAATGCTTTTTGTACTTTGTTATTTAAATACTTAAGTATTGCGTGTTTTACACAACTACAAGAGTTTTTTAAGTGCAATCATGTACAATTTGATTATTGCTGTTATTTTGCTGAAGATATTGAATTATTGAGTTATGCACAGTACTTTTATGTGTATACTCTTAGATGATTGCTTATAGATAAAACGTGGTATATATGATGTAATGAAAAGTCAATTTCTAACTTCAGATGTTCCTTTTATGTAAGAGATGAGTTACAAATTGTCTTTACAAAAATTACGGTCTACTGACTGCTACTTACACTCAGTTATTGTACATCTAGAAGAAAGTCCCATCCTCATTTCGGTTATCAAGTGTTTGCGGTAGAAAAATAATGTCTCCTCATGCAAAAATGCCTTAGTAGAATCACTGAGAAAACAATGCGTAGCTCATTTATGCCTATGTTGTAAATTTATTCAAGCGTACTTTTAACGAAACGTATGTGCATGATCGAAACTTCATAACTGAACAGTGTAAAGAACAATTCTTTTCAGATTCCTGTTTAATATTCATATAACGAATATTAGATATCTTGATCTGTGTTTTTTAATTAAAAATTTTGATATAATGTTGGAGCTCTTATACCGTTAACTTATAAATTTCAGCTTTCCTTTTACCTTTCCATTTCACGATAGAGATTACATGTAAACTTGTTCCTCTAAAATTTATATATATATACTCCTCCATTGAAAAGAAATTGATAAACGTATCCGAACAAAATCAAAAGCGTTCATTTTATATTCCAATCGAAAGAATTTTTATACAGTATAGAAGTATAGAAAATTTATATTTACAAGAAAATAAGATATTTTCGCGCACCACACAATAATTTACTTTCTTAGTATTAAACAAAAACATAAGACGATTGGATTAATTAGTCACACCTACTCGTTGCGCTGGAATACTGTGGACGTACGCAACCAGTTTCTATTTCGATTCGACAATTGGGGATGCCGGGACTTTATACAAAATATGTACGCGACTCATGCGTTAAGTATATACGCGTTGACGCGCGCGCGTGCGTGTGTGCGTGTGTGCGTGTGTGTGTGTGTGTGTGTGTGTGTGACAATTCGATTTGTCATCTTGATGCGAGGAACTAATTAGCGATACAATGTCATCAAACCGGTTTCGCCATTCTCTTTTTTTTTTCTTCAAAAAAAGTGTATACGTCTTCATACGAAAGGAGCGTTGAAAATGTTACACGAGCGTGGCATAATTTGCGGTTGCCACACCCACGTTAGAACGCGAATCGATCAATTAATCGTCCAACGTTATAATTTCGACACTATCGTTGGCGAGTTTGTCCGTCTTTTTAGCTGAAATGTTGGTAGGCGGTTTTCCCCTCGGGATATCGTACATGGGCATACACTCGGCAGCTGTTGAGGACCTCAATGTGTCTGACAGGACCTTCTGCGGCACCACGGACACCGCAGATGAGAGACTCTTCGAGTAATCTATGCCCGACTTCAAAGGTGCCTTTTGTTGCGGTATTATCTCTAAGTGCGAGTGCTGTTGTAACTGCGACAACATCGAGAACGCCTCGACCGAGCCTCCCTGAGAGAAGGAAGTCGGCAATGAGCTCGGCACATCTACTGTTGCCGTTGGCGCTGTCGCTGACGTTGTTGCCGCCGTCACTTTCGACTTGACATTCGACTTTTTGTAACTATGATACTTGGCGGCCTTTATAGCAGGTGGTTGCGTCACGGTACTAACGGAGATGCCGCTTAATTCCGGTGGTATAAAAGGCGGTTGCGACATCGCAGAACTCGCCGGCGGCATCGCGTTCAATAGATTTGGAAAATTAGCAGACAGCACAGGCATCGCTTTGCTGGCCGCTTTCGTTTTCCTCATTAGATTATGCACGTTCGTTTGCGGATACTGTCGCTGGGAGTTCTTCTTCGACAGTAGTTTGTGTTGCAACGACGTGCCGCTACGTGACGCGGGCAAATTTATAGGTAGATTTTGGCTCTTCATGACCACGGGCGCGCCCATGGCGCCGGAAGTGTGAGCGACTTGCGGCACTGCTGCCGGATTCGTCACACCGCCGCCGCCACCGCCAGTGCTCTTCAGAGGTGAGTGCGACAACGAGGGATTGTGTGCGGGTTGCGGTTCGATGAGCGACTTGGAGACACGAATCTGCGGAGCGCTCACTTGCTTCGGCGGGCTGGTCTTCACCTGCTGAATGACGGATGGTTTGAGCAGCGACACCTGCGCCGTGTTGGGCGAGTGTAACACCGGCTTCGTTGGCGATATCTGCAATGACTTAGGTATGTGAACGGGTAAAGGGTCGCTCTGTACGCTCGGTTGCTTGCTGCTGGACTTAGTCTTGTGTGTCTGCTGGCTGAGCGACGTGCTTACAGGCGTGATGGATATGCTGGGCCTGTCCTTCGTCATCGACGTGGTCGTGCTGGTCTTGGCCGTTGTTTGATGGTACATGGGTGCCGGTCGCGAGATAGGTGTCGTGGAATTACTCAAGCTCAGTAACTGCTGCACCGTCATGTTATTCAGATTGCTTAGATTGCTGATGTTAGTAGTAATACTGGAAGTATTAATACTGGAGCTGCTCGTACTCATCGTGGAGGCATTGCTGATGCCGGTCATAGTGGTACAGGGATTACTCAAGCCACCGGCAAGATTAGTCAGCGATGATAAATTGTTCTGGTATTGTCTGAGGATGTCTTGGTAACTTCCCACTTGGTTTAAATAGCTCATCGCTGACAAAGGGTCCATTATATTGCTGGCCAACAAGGCCGATATTACGGTCGGGTCGACCAGCGGACTCATGTAGTAAGGATTTATCATGGAACGATTCGGCCCGGACGCGCCTAAGTAACTCGCGTAGTTGCTTTTGGAACCGAATTGACTCATCACGTTGCTACCCTGTTGTATAGGCTGCAAATACTTGTTGACGTTAGGTGGCCGTCCTCTGGGCCGACTGATGTTCGCCAAGTTTCGGTGCGGTTTGCGAGAATTTTGCGAAGATTGCGGTGACGTGGAATTGGTTTGCACTTGTGGTGGCGGCGCCTGCGTGGTGCGGTGCGAATAATTTTCTTGGATTAGATAACGTGAACCAATGTGATATAAAAATATAAAGCAACACAGGTGTGTTTATTTACCGAGACTGTGGTAACAGCTTGAGGCTGTACATGAATGGTGCTGCTATTGTTAATCGACGCAATTTTGTTCGCTTGTATCTGACGCTGGCAACATTTGATGGCGATCTCCAAGGTATTACCTTCCAAGTTCTAAAACGCCACGAGGAAGAGATTATTATCTAAAATGATCGCGATCGTTATATCGTGATTCAACACGTTTCTTAGTACACGGCCTCGATGCAAATTTTACTTGCTAATAATGTTAATAATGTTCTATAAATACTGTAACGACGTTTCATTATTAACAACGTTAATGAAACAAAACCTTAGTTTGTAAAATAAAATTTTAGTCATTTATAAATAGATAATGTTTACTCGTTATGGTGAGTCAACGAGCATTTTTTATGGCTACTACTAAACACAGCTTTCCAAAGTCTAAGTTGATAAGAAACACTACAGAAATAGAAGCCGATAATCGTACAAATGATGCTAATGCTATTGGTTGCTATGATAAATTGAGCCTACTAATGAGTACAATTAATTATGTGCTTACTTTGTTTCCTATGTACATTTTGTATGTGTCCGTTAATAACGTTGCGAATGCCTGTATAGTTGACTCTTTACCCTGAAAATTTTTCTGCACCAGCTGATATGTTTCGTACACGTCAAGCAACACTTGTGTTCTAGCATCAGTTCTAATAAGGTGAACACTATCAATAGTGCTTGTCGAGCCCATTGCCTGAACTCTACTTCTAAGCGATTGCTGGCAGAGCGTCAAAGCTTGACGCGATAGTTGCTCTCTTTCGGAGTCACGTAAGTATTTCCTGGGAAAATGGGAACGATTATCCCACCGCTTTTAACTTCTTAGAAAATTCGAATCAAATTCATGTTGTTCGTTGAATTTAATTGTCCGAGTGCTCTTACTTGTCCGAGTCCGGTATTTTCCCGAGCTGTATACACAACTGCATCAACATTCGACTGTCGTTGGTTTCCTTTAGTACTTGCATAAGCAATGTCACGCATTTGGACATGTGTGAGGCAAAACTTCCAGGCCGGTCGATCTCGTTAATTGGTATATGCCATACTCCCTGGAAATATCACACGATGTTTGTAACAAATGTTTATATAATAACATTGTATTTATGTAACGTTTACGACATACGAAAATAGAAGAAATCATTGCGATCATATGTCTCGCAACGTATTAATCTTGTACATCTTCTAAATATAGGTAAATTTATCAGCTCATGAACATGGCCATGAAATATGGTATAGCTGTATTGATGATCGCGATACTGCTGTGCCTGCATATTTCTGCAAGGTAATAATCACATATTGCTTGTTTACCCTACAATATGTTGTAATTATTCGTTGGTTATCTTGTGTCTAAATAATATTGCGATAATCAAATCGGCAGTAATTATCAAGTCAGATCGAAGAAAGTGAGGAAGATGATAATAGACACAGATGCTGGCGGCGACGATGCTTTAGCACTGCTGTTAGCTCTTATGTATGAGGTCAAGACAAACGATATTGAAATATTAGCTATAACTTGCACATATGGTAACGCCTACTTGAATAATGTGACACAAAACGTATTGAAAGTTTTAACCATTGCCAATAGAAACGACGTAAGTATACTAATTATCTCAAACGTTCTTTTAATGACTGCGTTCCGATATTCACTGTCAACATTGAAAATCTGTAGTATTCATGACACAAACTACATATCTTCAGTACCGGCAATGAATATCGGAATGCACATCTAAAAATGTACATCTAAAAATGTCAATAATTTGCAAATGTTTGTTAAACTTCCTTGAAATATCCTTGTGAGCAATCTGTTTTTAACCGCTTAACGCTTTAACGTTTTTTAACTGCTAGATACCTGTATACAAAGGATCCGTAAAACCAATGATAAATACATATAAATTTGACGATTACTTCGGCGAAGACGGGTTTGGAGACTTTAATTTCACTCAACGAATAACTGCTAAGGTGGATGAAAGCAAACATGCTTCTGTGTTACTTGTAGATCTTGTGAAGAAATATCCGGGTAATCATTCATATTTCAAAGACCTTTGCAGACTTGTATATTTTACCCACTTACTTTACGTACACAATTCTAAAAATATTCAATTTGTTTTATTTCAGGTGAAATAACTATAGTCGCTCTTGGACCCGTGACAAATATTGCTGTAGCAAATATGCTAGAACCTAATTTCCTAAACTACACGGAGCAACTTGTCATAATGGGATCGAGCGTTAATATGTCGGATAGCAATGGAATCCCTCGGATTGAATTTAACTTTAAACAAGATCCGGAAAGTAATTGGATAACGTTAAATAACACCGATAAAGTTCATACAGTAGTTCCAATAGATATAGTAGATTCCTATGCTATTACGAAGGTAATATAACCATATAAATACATACATATTATTATTTAGATCATTAAGTAACACAATATCAGAATATCTCGGTTTTCGACAGGAAGAATACCGGGACCTCTTTAATAAGTTAAATTCTTCGTTCGCAAACTTTTTACAACTAGCTGAGAGAAAAGCTTTAGAGGTGTCAGAGTTTTGGCGACCAGCGGACGGCATGGCCATGGCAATTGCGCTAAAACCAGAAATAGCCATGAAATCGTTTGAGACCAATTTAGTACCGGTACTCATTGAAGATATGCGCGGCGCAGTTGTGGTAGATCCCAACAATACGATACACAATGCGTGCGTTATTCAGGAATTCGACGTAGCTGCATTTAAAAACCTTATCCTGGAATGTCTTTCTTAATGACAGACTCAAATCATGGTGCGATCTTTTGCTGTCGTATTGTATCTCTAATTCTTAACATTGCTTAATTATCGATATACGTATAAAGTATTATGGGGATATAATCGCAAAATAATACTTACATTGAAGAAATTGGTACTTCTCCTATCAGCGAAAAGTCCTTGGAAAGTTTGTCCGGGATAGAACTGACAGGAGTATGTTCCCAATAAAAGATCCTTGCATTTCGCGATATTCTTTGACTTTCTGTTATTAAAGAAAAAGTGCGCCAGTCTATAGAAAGACTTGTGATGCTCTGTGAATCTTAATATACACTGCTCCAAACCAGCCAGACAATACGCGATTAAAGTTGTTACTTCTTCTTCCGGCATTTGTTCCTCTGAAATATGAAATACAAGTGAAATAAAGTGCAAAATAATCATTTCCCCATGTAATGATTCGTGAAATATCTGGTAGCTTTTTGCTGTAATATTTAAATAAATACAAATAGCAAATAAATATAATCACATAGCTTACCGTTTTCTCTAACGTTTAAATCCTTTTTCTTTTTTTCCACGTCGCTGTCAGCAGACTCGCTGTCACTGTCGCTGGAACTGTCACTGTCGGAGCTGTCGTCGCTACTGCTGGATTCCTCGCTGCTACTGGAACTGGAATTATTCGTCTCTGTAGTCGTGGTTGTGGTTTGTGTAGTCGTGGTGCTTTCCTGAGAGCCTCTTCTGCTTAGAGTGATCTCCTCGTTTGTGCCGGCTTGCGCTTTTCTCTTATCTCCCTTGTCTCTACCATCTTTCTCCTGTTTGCAAATGCAAATAATTAACCCTCAGATCGACTCGATTATAACATAAAATTTACATTGCTCGAATGCAAGAGAAATAAAAAGAGAAAAGAACCTAAACGCACATTCGGTTGCAAGTCTTCGTTCTGCAGCCACTTGCCGTCGAACTTTCTGGTGTCCTCGTCGTCTAACGAAGACTGTTGAGTTTCTTGACTGACTTCCATCGCCTGCTTCATAAGAGCATCCATAATGTCCTGTACATTCTCGGCTTTCCGATCGCCGGATTCAACCGTCGGTATATTCGGTGAACTTTTTTTGTTCTCCTCCGCCTTTGCCTGCAATTTCGTTTTATCCATGTTTTTATTCTCCAGCTTCTTCCTCTGCAATTTCGACTCATTACTTTCGTCACTAGACAAGATCATCACGTCGTCATTCGTTTTCTCCTTTTGCGACGCCATGTCGCAAACTTTTGTAATTAAATCATCTATCAATGCTACTACATCTTGCATGAGTTGCAAGTGCGAGATGCTACCTAATTTTACCCTCTTCGTATTGTCGTGCGACTGTTCGTCGGGATACCTTTTACGACCTTCAGGTTTCCCTGACTCTATATACTTAACATCGGAGATTTTATTTGATCTATCTATGATTTCTATTTCCTCAATGCTACTTGAGCGTTGGCATATCGCTGCCACGTTTCTATCAATATCTATCGCGCCGTCAGATTCCTTCGAAGTAGTTTTCTCGGCATCGGAGCACTCGTCCTTTTTCTTCTCGTTGAGTTTAGACTGATACTTCATGAAGGAACCTTCGGAGCAATTCTTGAGATGCCAATGAAACAGCCGACCCAACGATTTCTTCAGCGGCTTTCCCTCGTGCTGCTCTAAATACTTTAGTATACTCGCGTGGATGCGATAATGAACTTCTAGCGCTTCTATAGCTAGATTCTGTGGACTCTTATGACTTATTCTACGTGGATATTGGGCATTATTCTCGTGTAATAACTCACTAGCCTAGAACCAGACAATGATGTGTTTAATTGGCGTTAGAAATATACGGATAAATACAGAACATAATAGACAAAATAAAAAAAAAAAAGAACCTTTGCGTAATGTTCCAAAAATATGGGAGGATCCTCGTTCTTCTTCTCCGCGACTTTACCAAGCATGTACTGATAAAGCCATCTCTCGTCGTGATGCATAGACGGCTCCTCGATAGTCTGACATATTCGATTGGCGGACTCAAAACACTGATCCGCGATCTCCAGCATCTCCTCTTTTCTGGTCTCTAAAATTTCAAACCTCTCCATACTCAACGTGTCGGTCTCCTGTTTGAGCAGCCGCGAGCAGAACGAGTGAACCATGTAAACGAAGTTGCCATATTCCGTCCAGATCACAGAATGGCCGGGCGCCAGCTCGATAGCATGCTGATAACTCGACTGTGCCATTTTCGCTTTATTGAGAAATTTGTCCTTCCCTCTGTCGATGCAGAAATCGTCATTTAACGTCATTACTGTAACAGGTACGGATATCGAAAGACGAAGCTGAGACGACGATGTACTCACATGGGTCTGTAATTATTCAGCCAATTCTCGATTATGCTGCCTGTCGCCATAGCCAAACCTGCCCACGAATTTAAGCCCCTTGGGTACAAACAGAGATCCAGAAGATAGTAACGGCAGGCATGTTCCCACTTGTTGTTCTTGAAGTAGAAGTCGCCCAACAAGTAGTAAATGGTAGATATCGCGTGCGGCAACGATTTCATCACGCTCGGCATCTTCTCCTTGGCGCCGATTATGTAGGCCGTCATGTCTTCTACTATTTGATTTGGGTCGCTTTCCTGCGGAACTAGCCTGATTATTCTCTTGAACAGTATCTCCGTATCCATGCTGATAGAGAGAATTTTAGCGGACTGGAAGTTGGGCAGCTGTTTTGGCTTGTAAAAATCAAACAACAATTGTGCCCCATCCCAGGTTAATTCCATCTGTGGCACCACGTGATCCTGAAGATACTTGGGTCGTGTCTTATTCACCCTATTGGGATGGCCATACAGACAGAAGAATATCTGTTCGAGATACTTGGTGAGTCTGTTCTTGATGGAGGCGTACTGCGGGGTCTCGAGTTGCGGTATAACGAGATTCATGGTAAAGAAGAGTAATTTCGCCTCGTTGAAGCAACACCACGAGTGTCTACCGATAAATTCATGGGCAGTGAACAGAATCATTATGGACGGTGGGATGCCCTCGTCCTCGTCATCCGACTCGGAATGATGAGAACCGTGCATCTTATTCTTATAAGGGGATTCAGCCTTTGCTCTCTCCTTATCTTCTTCGCTGTTAGGTTAAAAGATTCAGGTTATATAATACTAATAATAATAATAATAATAATAATAATAATAATAATAATAATAATCGCTCTCGTCTATTGGATTAATAGAAGTTATTTCTCAATAAACTTACTATTGCAAAATGTAATGTAATAGAATCCAAGGTAACACCGTTTCGAGTGGCATCTCTACGGCATTCTCCGGTACATCTAATTGATGACAAACGATATGGACTAGATTTTGAACCAACCTCGACAAACGAGGCTCCGGCAGATATTTTACTGCAATTATGACGAATCAAGTGCGAGCGGTGTAATGATATTATTGCGGATTGTTGTACTAAATGCTGAAGCATGATCTTACCGGTAAAAACACTAACTTCGATTGTACAGGCTTCTAATTTTTCGAGCGCCGTCAGAACAGAACTCGTCCACTTCTTCTGTTCAGCATCGTCGGAAGAGTTTAAATAGTTCTGCCACGACTCATTGAGACAAGCTTCCGCCCAAACGTAGCATTCCTGTAAAAGTATTCGTTATCGCTCAATAATTTCAACATTTTCTCCGTACGCGTATATATTTCTATCAAATTAATACCGCGTTACCTCGTAATGTTGAAGCTGCCACAAACTATCGAGTAACATAGTTAGTTGTCGAACTCTATCGACAATGTTTTCATTCGTTATCAACAATTTGTGTCTCTGTTTAGCAAATTTAAAAGTGTCCTGCAGTATATAAGAGAGTTCTGCATATTTCTTCTCGTCGTATAGACGCTGGATCTCGCCCAACTTTTGACTCCTGCACACACAATTAAAGGAATAATGTTATTATATCATCTATTTTAACATAATACATATTAATGTATTAAATTTGAAAATACCTTTGAATCGACGTAAGTTTCTTCTTCACAAGTTTCACACTAATTTGAGAGTTATTTTTACAGTTTGAAAGAGTGATACAAGCATTTGGTTTTTTACTTTCAATTGCTTGCAGACGACTTAACAACTGGAAACAACACACATATCTATAATTTATAATGGTTTCTTAGATCATTTCTCTGATATTAAGTTAAAAAAAATTACTTACCAATTCTAATGTTTCTATGACAACATCCACATCACCTTGGCATAAGAAGATATTAGCTTTGAGCCACAAAATCCTCAGTAAAATATATAAATTTTCATCACTTAAGAGATCCTGTTTAACACTTGTAAATATTATATGTCCTAATTCCTCTGCTGGCAGCCCAGTACCAAGTTTATCCAATCTGTGACAACAATTTCATGATAAAAGAAGTTTCTCATTAACAACATAAAACATATGAACACGATCGGATTGTTAAACTTACGTTGAGCCTGACAGAGTATCTGGTTTGTTATCTAACCATCTGTCTGTATGAAGCTCACCAAACAACAATGTCATTTCGGTATCCAACTTTAGTATTTTGTCGTCGACATTTTCATCGAACGGTGACAAGTGTGGAATATGTTGTCTGGAAAAAATTGTAGAAAAATATTTTTTTCTTTATATATACAATGCTAAATAATTCTTACGTCAATATCTACCTCATGAAAGCATATGCCTGCAGGTAAATTTCTGACATTCCTTTTGGCCATTCCTGGTTCCATTTGGTGCACAGAAACTCCGCGTACTTGGCGATAATTATCATTAAATTACTCTTGTTGCTGTGCTGATTTATAAATGCGTCTACATCACCAATTTCTGTTTCTGTCTCGAAGTACTTCTGCTGTTGACTGCTGTTGACAGAGAAAGCTGAATAACATACCGTTCCTTATTACGTTGAATAAAGATTAAATTATAAACAAGTACCTCATGTCAGGGCTCGGTGATTTAGAGCTCTCCGAGCTTTTGAGAGCTTCCACATGGTTACCATTATTCTCTTGATTTGCGAATAACTGGTACATATCCATAGTGTCCATAGAATCATCAACATTTTTTGTAACATCATCTTTAGTCAACCTTACTGTATCTGGCCTATTATAAAAAAAAAAAAAATTATAATTCTATATGTATTTAAATATATGATTTCTCGAATCAATGAATTTTTCAAAAGTGTCCAATATAACATGCACATACAATAAAGTATTAGGAAACAGCCTTCTAAGTGTTTCTTCCAACTGAACGTCATCTCTCTCTGCTTCCCTCCTGTTTGAACCTCTGACTCTCGCGGATCGTCTCATGCTGCTACAGCTCCAAGCCCACTGTTGCAAGAAGCATAATGCGCTTCTCCGCCTTTTCTTTACTTTTTGCCCCTCTTCCTTTCCATCAATCTTTTCAGAATGAGCTTTTTCGTCCGCTTTATTCGCCGCGTCGTTTGTTTTCTCGGTACCTTTCTCAGAAGCTTTATCACTCGATTTGTCGCTTTCTTTGTCGCTGGATTTTTCGTTAGGCACTCCGTTATCCGTACTGTAAACGTCATCTGTAACTTTGTCGCTTTCTAACTTGTCGGCATTAGCGTCTACTTCGTATTGCATCTGTTCTTCCGAATCTATGTTTTTTGTTTGACTCTGTTCCTCAAATTGCAAACCGTCCGTGTCAGACATTCTCAACGGATCCTCATCTTCGATTATTTGCACATCGGTTGAACAGGATTTTTTGTCGTCTTCGGTTTCAACTTCCATCGCAGTATCTGAAGTTGTATTGAAGGCTTGATTGTCATCGGACATTTCGTAAGTACAATCTTCCGTTTCTATCTTAACAGATTTGTCAATGTCATTATCTCGGTTTGGAACTGGATCATTGAAATTCTCCTGATCTACCTCCATTACATTATTTTCTTCGACTTCACACTCATTACTTGTTACTGCATTCTTCTCATCAGGTTTTTGAACCAATAATGTAATTCGGCTAACAAAGTTTAAATTGTTTTCAGTGATATACCTATGCATGTCTAACAAGCTTTCCCCAAGAGCTAGCCACGTATAGCTTATTAGAGGCATTCTTAAAGTCAATTCTGGTAATGGTTTTGGTGTGAACTCAGCTTTACAAAATTCTGCCCACTTTTCAGAAACCTCCTTTGCCTCAGCTAATAATTTATCACCCAATATATGATCATATTCAATGTATAAAGGTGGATCTAATTGCCAATCACTATTATATAATTTGTAACATTCCTCCATACATGGAATGTCCTTAAATATTTTGTCACGGAAAGCTAGACCCTTTACGTAATTAGGATCTCTCTCCAACGCTGTAGAAATATATAATAGACAGTTCATGTAATCAGGAACAGCATATAAGGCAGTTATTAAATTGTCCAGGCATGGCCAGTGACTTGAATTACACTTTAGACCTTGCTTGAAAGACGAGCAAGCTAATTCTAAATTAGAAATTTTCATGGCTAATGTGCCAATCCTGTACCACAGCGTCACGTCAGAATCATCCAAGTTTGCAGCCTCCCAGTAGTTCTCCACAGCTTCTACATAATTCTCACCAGCTGCTTGAATAGCACCAATGTTCTTAAAGCAGGAATATTTCAAGGACAACATTGGCCTTGATCTGCCATCTGGTACTTCCGGCTTCTCTACCTCATCCAATAATTCAGTCTCCAAAAGATCCTTAAAAATAACTAGTGCCTCCTCTCTCTTATCTTCTTTCAGCAATTCTAAGGCTTTATTATATTCTGTCAATGCTATTTGTTCCTGAAATTGTATAGAACACAGATAACAAGAACGTTTCTACAATGTTGTATTATGATATAACTCATACAAATTTTAAAACATATTTGTAACAGATACAGCACAATGTTCTTATCTTTAATTGAATGTAGGATTCCCAGGATACAATAACATAGACCGAAATCCACTAAACGATTAATATGGATCAAGAGCACAATTAGCATTAAATATACGAAGAGACACAAACGTGAATCTCTGTGCACATAATTATCCATCGAATTTGACAACTTACACACCTATTATCCATATGAATGATGGACATACAGATTCGGTGTAAAATTATATCATAGATAACGTCTATTGGCAATGATACTAAATGCTAGAAACATCGAAATTTGCGTGTTACACACGCACACGACTCCTCGCACAAATTTGACGAGTTTTGAGGTTATATGACCAAGTAAAGGAACAACTTGTGTACTCACCTGCGCTTCCTTCGTAATCGTGGGTAAATCCTCCTCCTCGCTTTCCTCGCTCGACTCCTCGTTGAGAGCAGATATTTTAATCATACTGCCCATTTCAACTACGAGTATCAACGCCTACATATGCAAAACATCAACAAATCAGCCGGTTTTTTCGCACGCCGCCATGCCAATGAACCACGCATTCACTTCTAGATGGCCCAGATAGTCTGGGCAACAATTACAACTATTTGCCAAAGATAAGTCTGTTCTTCCCAAGTGCACTTTGCATTTACATATTGTGCGTTGCAAAGTGAAATAAGATATTCATTTTCTCTTTTGTTCTCTTTTGTCCATATCCTGTTGTATTCGAAGTAAATTGCACAAAATGTACGTATAAGAATTTTGTTAGAGTGAAGAGAAAAGAGACAATATCCGATAAATGCTTGTAGAAAGTGCAGATGGAAAGAACAGATTATCTGTTTGATGTCGCAAGTATCTGAAGAATATTCATGTTTATCTCGTCTGCAGTGATTGAACTTTTAACTTTGTTTATCTTGCTTGCGCAAATAAGGGAAAATATTATTGTTGCGCGTTATAGAGTCAAGACAACTCAGTCATGCGGCGTTGGTTAATTTAGTCCTCACGCTACATCCTAACGCAAACGGGTCTTGTATCCCCGACGATAGAGCACTGTTCGAGTAATAACAGTCGTGCATAGTGTTTAAGCGACATTTCTCTTCTTGGGTGAGTGTCCGTGTTATTATTTATACGATAATTCGTAATTTAAATCGTTCCATTAAACCGGTACGCATGATCATGTCGCGATATAAAATTTATCATGATTGTTTATAATAAAAGTTATAATGAAAGTTATACATATCCTTTACTTTACATATACATTTTTATAATAAATTATTTGATATAATGGCACATATGACAGGACCTGAAATAAAAGTCACGAGTGAAAACATCAGTTTATAAAAGAGTAGTTATACATTATTTTTTTCAACATTCGATAAACAAATGGTTAGAATTTTGTTGATAGTTTGTTGATTTTAGCTTAATGTAAAAATGAAAAGAATAATTAATATTAGTTAATATTACATACTATCATAGAAAAAAATGGAAATTAGTAACAGTCTTTAATGAGAACATTGAATGTGATACGTCTTGCTGAACTGCAGATTAGGCAAGGTAGAAAGAATTGATGTGTCTGATGACGGAACACTTTGTATAACAATGTACAATTTTATTATATATAAAAATATTTGAAGAAAAATGAGACAATAATAAATAATTATATGTAACAAACAGTTGTGAAAATTAACAATTTGACATTCTCAACAAAAAGACACTCTCAAAAGGATTTCTACCAGAATCTGCACTCTTACAAGATGTACCGAGTGTTACAATTAATTGTTGGCACTTTAAATCATCATACAAACACATACTCTTATCATATAATGGAAATTTCATCTTTAACCGTAATGTAGAAATCAAAATTAATCTCATGACAAATTGATATTATTACAGTTGCTGTAATGACAATGTAAAACCGATATAAATATGTACATCACAGGAGGCTGGTCGAGAGGTGATACACGGAATTTGCTTAATTCTGGAATAGCAACAGACAAAATTATTATAACAAGGCTCTATGCTCCAGCTTACAATGAATATAATAGCCAAATCTGGCGAGCAAGTGAGTTTTTCTTATGCTATTAAACATGTAAATTCAGCTCGGCAAAAAAATCATCTTTAAATTCGTACGACATCATATTTCAAGTTATTCAAAATTAAAGTAATGATATCACGTATTTCTTTCTTGCAGATCCTGAGATGCAGAGACATTGGGCTGCATCCTATCTCCTACCGATCGGATCTATTTTTATTCTTGGGATGGTTGTTTTATTAATGGTAATAATTTTACGTTCGTCATAATTATGATGAAAAATAATTCTTTCTTTCTATTTGAGTTGAATATTTGGTTACAATTTGGAATCTTGAACAACACTTGTAGGTATTGTTCAAACGATATCCATATACTGTGGCCGCGATCGTTGCTGCGATTCTCGGTATCATTATTGTAGTAACAATAATGATATCACTCAATCATGGACCAATTTATACTTAACACACGTAAAGTAAGGTAATCAATCGTTGATTGTAATGCCCGGAAAAAAAAAAAAAAAAAAAATCCCATGTTAAGCCGTATTATGCCCGGGAATTTTGTAACCGTTATATACACCGGATAAATAAATATATCGTTTTTACTTACTACTAGGAGTGCTCGCTCATCATCTTCATCCTGATCATATCGTCCGAAACGCGTTTTACCATTTCTATGTACTTCTCTAATGTTGCATATAATCTCTCGTAACTCTGAAATACAGATTATAATGTGTGTAGGTACCTTAAATTATACCTTAAATAATGTTAATTTTGCGAGCGAATTTATTATACCTCTGTGTAAATAGAATCTTTATCCTTCAAATATTCTAATTCGCTTAAAAGTACTTCTATCGTGTTGAATGGCAACCAGGTCGGTGGCGCGGTAGCTACTAACGGCGTTTCCAGGCCAAAGTGTTCCTTTCCGCTGCCCAATACTGCATTGATATAATCTACCGCTAAATCGCTCGCTTCCAACAGTCGACCAGTATTTAACATGAGACGCAAAAGCTCCGAGGCATTTCGTTTCTGCAACATCCAATCACTGTAGAGAAACTGCACGTATAAATTCGATCTTAACTCACTCACCTTATACGATATCAGTAGCCATTGCGGCAGGAATGCTCCGTCTTGCAGCAACTTCCTCGCAACGGCTTTGTGCAGTTCACTGTTGGCATTTTTCTCGTGTTTCAACGTGAAGTACTCCAACAGCCTCCAAGCGGTATTTGTAATAGTCGTATTGGATATACCGATATCTGCGAAAAAAACGCCACCGTCAAAATTACTTGTTATCTGCAATTCTGATGGGAAATAAGCGTAAGCGCGTGCGATGCGAATTCCGGCAGTTCTCACGAAAACATCAGAGATTCACAAGCTATGCTCACCGAATATGTCATTCTGTATCAGCCAGTCCCAGGCGTTCGGATCCTCGCGTTGGCTTAGCATGATGCACTGCGACGTCAGGCTTTCGAGTACAGAGGTTTTGCTGATCTTGAATTCGTCGCACAAGTGCAACGCCGTTGTGTACAGGCCGGTGTTGCATAAGGTAACGATAAGTTCGGGTGGTTCTGGAAACATGTGAATGACGGGAAAGGTGTAGTTTCTTCACAGCAACGTAGTTGCACAATCGCAATAATCGACGTACGTTCACGAGACACACTTACCAGTGTGCGCGACTATATGCATTTCCGAATTGACTTTCGATATCTTCAATCTCGCGTCCACTATGTAATACTCCTTCTTGATGTCGTCCAACTCGAGGACTTCGACTTGTTTCTTGATTTTATAGTGCAACACCTCCTTGCCGTCTATGCCTCTCTTCTTCTGCGGATTCGACGAGCCCGATTCGTCGGCAAAGTTCTGATCGATTACAGGCCTCACGATCCATCTGTATTTCTCACTCACATGGTGCAGAGCGTTAATGCACGCCAGTAAGCATTGAGCTTGTCTCGATATGATCGGTGCGGAATGCGACTCTTGACTTAAACGCATGGCTTGCTCGTACATCACCGATGCGGCTATAAAAATGGCGCAAGCGGTCATACATCAGATCAAGTTTCATATCGATTCATACCGGTTATTGGTGCGCGAGATGACGATAACATAGTTACCTTTTCGCATATTTTGCTTATTCACGTGGAAGCTATACAGGAAGTTATAATAATTGTTCTCCATGAGATCGACGCTTCTGGCTCTGCCCTCTACTATCCTTTCGAGATCCTCGTACATATCCACGTATGGAAAGGAGATCAAGTCTATCAACAGTTTCCTTTCGAACAGCGTGACCACCAGCTGCCGCAGGCAATCCACTCGACGCGCAGCGTCTGGATTCGCGTTCAAGCAGTGGTAAGCCTCTGTGTGATGGCCCAGGCTCAAGTGCTGCGCGAATATTATGGAATGGAGCGTCGGTAAATTTGGATCGTCCGTGTCGGCAGCCGCTATGGCTGTCTCGGCGATCTCTATGATACAGTCGGACGCGTTGTGCTCTTCGAACAGTTTGATTACTTTCAGGTAATAATGTATCAACGCGCTGTTCCCCGTTGTGACATTAGAGCCGAGCAGAGCGTCCACCAAGAACACATCGGTCAGGATGCCGTTGGAAGCACGAAGAAAGTGATCGCACGCCTTCTGCATCTCCCCCATCTCCAACAAGGCAACTGCTAGTATGAACTTCCTCGAAGCGCTGTTCCACTCGCACCACATGTTGAGGAGCCTCACGTATTCCTGAACGAGCAGGAACTGACAACTGGATAGCAGCCATTCGGGGAACACGAAGTTGCCGGAAATTGGCCATCTAATTATGTTGCTTAAGGAACAGTCAAGTCCTCGAACCGCTTGGAATTACCAAGCAAAATTAACAATCTTGCCAAAACTCGCTTGACCGTCGATGAAACGACACACACACACAAAGGATACATGAGCTGCGCAAGAAGCGTCACGTGCGTCAGCATGCTGTAGTGCCAAGGTATCAAAGTTGTCGGGTCCATATTCGCTTGAGCCATTAGGATGTGAGCGTGTTTCGTACCGCTGCTTTGAACGAATAGCTCCAACAGCGACAAAGATCGATGCTGCCTCTGCCCAACGCTAACTCGCGAGTCGGTGAGCTTCAACGTCGAAAGACGCTGAGCACTGGACTCTCTGGAAAAGTTTCGTTTTAGCTCTTTTAGCTTCTCTTAACACCACGCGCTACTCAAAGTCTATGTGCATTTTGTATTATTGAAGGACCATGTGAGACTTACAGCAACGACTGCGAAGGAGTGTACGTCGCTGTGGACTCGCATATCCACGTGACGACGTAGTAAGCCTGGGTAAGCACGACGGTCCTCGGCGCCAACGACGATCGTATGGTGTGCAGAGATCTCGAGTCGAATATCTCGGGACGTTGCAGTATAATCTGCTGCAGGATCAATAGGTCCCTACAGATGGAGAATCTCAGGAGCGCAATCTGCGTAATAGTCTCCGACACCGCGGAAATCCCCAATTGACTGCCGAACAGGTGATTAACGTGCAGCAGGACCTTGGAAGCGTCATGATCGTTCTCGAATTGTAGCTTATTTGGCTGCCCGAGGTCGTACGTCAACGCTTCCAACAGCATGGCCATAGCACCGGATATGTCTTTCACGTTGCCCAGTTTGTGATAGAGTTCCGACTGGAAGTCGAAATCCGACAACTGCCAAGAAAGAAGCCAGTTGATTTCGGAGCCTATGGAAACAATCATAATAGAAGCTGATTCTCGCTGATACTCACTGGATCGTCGGGTTTCTCCAGCATCAGCTTCAACAGCAGATCGTCGATTATGATATCTGGACTTCTCAGATGATACAGTTCTCTCTCGATCTCTGTTTTAATTTCTTCCGCCAATTGTTCCCCCAGCATGACTAATGCGGACATCAGGATGATGAGATCCTGGCAAGTGTCCTCGTCCTGCGACAGAACAGGTGTTGTCTTGAAGCGGAACGTGTAGGATTTCTCGTTGCAGAGCACCAGATGTTCCAGTGCCTCCATTGGTCTCAGAAGTGAGAACGACGACTTCTTCAGCAGCACGACGCCATAGACGCTTGGTAGCAGCAATAAGCCTACAGGACGCGTGCCGTTAGCGTGATACTGGACGACACACGAGTAAAACTTGGACCAGCATCTGTTGGCAATCTCCAGATAATCTTCGTCCATGATCACGTAATCCATCACCTCCGCTTGCATCTCGGCCTCCACCGCCATACACACTCTCTCCTTCAGCACTGCTGGCGACAGAGTCATGTCTGCGATGAGATTAGACCTTCTGTAGATACTTAGCGCCTTCGTGATGTCCGCCAGTGAAAATTGGCCGGGATGGAAGATGTAATTGATATACGCCTGACGCGGGTCCGTCCCAGGATCGCTCACGATGTAATCCCGGTCGCGCGCCTGCTCCAGAATTGTAGTTTCCCATTCGGAATTAACATGTGTACCATTCAGTGGTAATTGTGCGTGCGTCACCGCCACAGCGTCCATGTCCGTCGTTCTCCACACCGCCCACAGTCTAGTGGGGGTGAATGCGAAATCCACCAAGTGTTGCTATTCGGAAAGAACAGATTCATTAAGTTTGTCTCAATGGTTACACAGGCTTATTATTAACGAGAGAATATACTCACGTCCGGCGCATACAGCGTGCATAATCTAACGAATTTAAATATGCCATTATCTTGCACGGGCTTCAAAATGCTGAATTCACACCCCGCACCAAATTTCAAGAATGTACCGAGGTATAACTCGTTATCGTTGCCCACCGCCTTTCTCAGGACGTGACCTTGCGCACCTTGGGACACAATGCGATTCTCGATTGCCGCATCTGTCACTGCTGTGCACTGTGTTTTATTACAAGACCACATACGTACGTTGCCCTCTCGGCATAACGCGAATAAGTACATGTCGCTACCGTAACTGTGTATGACGAGGGACATTGCCACATAGGCTTCGGTATTGCGACCTCTGAATGCGGTAGCAATGCCGCTCAAAAACCTGGGCACTATCGAGTCTTGCTTCAATTCGCTAGTGTGCACGAGACCTGTGAGCGCATCGAGCCTCAGCAGTAATATAGTAGCTGAACTATAGGCGAGAGCAAACAGTGCCTCTTCTTGCGGCAATGTAAGCCACGATGCTGCCGCGTGAGGAACTGGTGAATCTATGCAAAATGGAAGAATACTCGATGGGATGAGTCATGTGCATATGAATGCGTTTGAACAATAAAGAGAAAATATGGCAAAAATTCAGCTGTTTTCAGCTGAAAGTATTGTACTTATTATATATAACGCAGACTTACTTGTGGTCCCAGCATTGGCAATAATATGAAATGTATGAGGATCTCTGGCATTTTGTACAGAAGCTTCGCTAAATATAGACTGCACACTAAGGTCTGTGTATGTACCCAGCAAGTTCTCCTTGAGGAGAAAAATGGCTCATTAATAGGTTGATTAATACAAAAGAATAAATAATAAAATTATGCGCTTACTTGTCTGTGAATCTTATCCGGATGAGAAAATGAAAGTTTGTGAACACTGGAGACAGTGACAATCAAAATAATGACAGAATTGATTGTTTCATGAATGGAAATCCCATCTAAGATTGGAGTGTCTGTAAATTTGTATCTCACTCGACAATTTGCCAAATTAATATCCAGGCTGTGTTCAACCAGTTCGAGTACATCATGGCAGATACGCCAATAGATAAAACGGTTACGAGTAAAATATTTGGAGCTGTCTTTGTATGAATAGCCACCTGCTCTTTCTGGCACTTTTATATCTTGCAATGTGCTCTGGCTTCCACCTGTAAAAAGAAAATTCTACTTATTCTCTATTATAAAATAAAGATTGCAATGATGATACTAATCTATATTTCAATCATATATGTTATCGCGACATATAATTATTAATTTTACATAGTACATACATTTGGCGTATTGAGTTTAAAATTTAAGAATTTCATGTACTAAATATATGCTAGAATTTAACATAATTTATTCAAGATGGGTAACAAGTAAGGGTTAAACAAGTATGCGATCGAAATTATTTCAACTCACAAATGCTGTATAACATTTTATTTCCGTGGACATGTTACTTCAATATCACTGAGAATAACTTTTCGAAACGTTCTTGTAACAACATTATGAGCAAAATTTCGTTTTGCCGGGCTATCATACAAAGGTTATGTTCTTACCAGTATTGAGGGTGATTTCTTTCCATTTTTCTGGCAGAGTTTGATCCGGTACAACCTCGCGATATCCCAACGGAAACTCTACCATCTTCTAATTCTTTGCAGAGAGACACTAAGGCAACTTATCCGTCACTTTACATCACAAACTTTACATCTACTGCAAATTTAAGCAGGTATTCTGTAGTTTTTTGGCGCTCGCCTCGTGCTCCTCACTTACATGTGGGTATGTGTGCGTGTGTGTATATTCCAGTACCGGGTGTCCATAACCACTCTCGATAGCATCATGGTTTGCCAACCTCGTCGAGATATCGATAACCTGTGGTATAAAACATTCAAAATAAGCCAATCACAGCACTGTGAGAAGATTTACTTTTTCGATAGCTCGCAAGTTAGAACGTCATGATTGGCCGAATTCAAACATTCTCGACTTTGTCATTGTTAAGATCTCGAAGCTCGATAATTTCCTTATTTTAACTTGTACCACCTGTCGTCTAGCTGGAACACCTTGTAGAAGATTGCGTCAACGTACTATGGTACTACATGCGTACGCGTTTATCGAAAAAAGTCACGTGGGCTACTCGTAGTAGCGTGGCTGATCGTAGCAAGTTCGTGTCAAAATGTTGAATGGATGTTGGTGAATTAAATTTTTTGAGATACTACAAACATGGCATATCATTCGAGGAGCTCGTGTGAATCGGCAATCGCGAGACAGAGAGATGAATAAGGCAGAGGACGATGGACCGATCACGGTTTTATCGTCAATGATCCGGCTCGGCTCGCTGGCATCAGGATTTGTTGTGGTTTGCAGGCAATTTGACATGTATACGTACGGGTCGTGTGCGACAAGCCTAACCTATCTATAAGGATATTAAATGTTCTCGTAATCAGAGAAAAATTACAAGATAAAGAAAAGGAAGAACGTTATCGTTAACTTTATCGTCGCTACTATCGGAATTAACCACGACAACGAGGAATACGATTGAATTTCGAATATGAATCAGAAAGTAGTCACCACGTTTTATCTGTTGTTAAATATAATATTCTCTATCGCTATTGTACTGCTGAACAAATGGCTTTACGTCAACACCGGTTTTCCCAACATCACATTATCGATGATACACTTCATCATGACATTCATCGGCCTGATCATTTGTGAGAAGCTGAATGTCTTTTGTATAAAAAATCTCGACATCAAGGAGATGATATTAATTGCCATGACGTTCTGCGGATTTGTCGTTCTAACAAATTTAAGTCTGGCCCATAATACAGTCGGCACGTATCAGGTGGCAAAGATGTTAACGACACCCTGTGTGATAGTGATGCAGATGATATTTTATAGGAAGCAATTTAGTATACCTGTTAAGCTGACATTGATACCGATCACATTGGGAGTAATAATCAATTTCTACTATGATATACAATTCAACATCATTGGAACTGTTTATGCAACACTGGGAGTATTTGTAACATCTCTGTATCAAGTGGTACATCTCATCTCTTATATATGTATACATTTTTAAATATATTTTCCATGAAACATTATCACATATAAGGATCCTTTCTTTTTGATAGATGGTGAACAGAAAACAGAGAGAATTTCGAATGGATCCAATGCAATTGTTATTTTATCAAGCACCACTGTCTGCTGTTATGCTCTTTGTTGTTGTTCCAATTTTGGAACCAGTTAGGCAAACATTTGCGCACAATTGGTCACTACTAGATATAGTATGTTCATCAGAATACTTTTTGTCATTATTAATTTGCATAAATTGATGTATGATTATGTTCCTTTCTCTCGTCTGCAGATCATGGTTGTATTATCTGGAGTGGTTGCATTTTTTGTGAATTTGACTTCCTATTGGATCATAGGGAAGACTTCACCTCTAACGTATCCTTATATAAAATTTTCAGATTCAGAAGAGATTTTCAGATTGTACGTTATACACCTTAACAAGCATATTTAGGTACAACATGGTTGGTCATTCTAAATTTTGCCTGCTCCTATTGGGTGGCGCGTTACTTTTTCGTGAAACGTTAGCGATCAATCAGTTGATTGGTATAACACTGACATTAATAGGTATTATATTATACGCCCATGTCAAGGTAAACCCAACTTCTGTATTATGCTTAGCCTTTCCGTCGATACTTCTTTTTTAATTCATTTCATTTGCTTACAGATGAAAGATAATCATACCACAGGCCCGGAATTCGAAACGAGAGAAACAAAACCGTTGCATAAAGTGTGATTCCGTTCCCGAAAAGACAGTCAATCGAGGGAACTCGAAATTATAAGAAATTTATCAGTCAGTCGGTACTTAAGAGCGCGTATGTTTTTTAGATTTTAAAATTTGTGTTACAATAAACGCGTTAATACATAATTAGTTTCTGAAGCTTCCTAATCCCACTTAAATAGTATTATACTATACATCGATTAAATATTTCTTGTATTATTCTGATATGAATAAGTATCAATCCCACTTAAACTTCGGATTGAAGAGAGAATAAAGTTCACACAGTTCCTACAGCCGTTAATTAACTCCTCTTTTTCTACAGAGAAAAGGATATAGACAAATTGAACACGCATCTATCAAAATTAAAATTAATTCACTTTATTGTAATAAACAGAATCTATATCGAGACGTTGGGGTGATAAAAGAGAATAACGTCACAAAATAGCAAAATCAATCACCTCTATGCATTAGCAATTTCTCACGTGATGAAGTTACGATTACAGCTCGTATAGCAAAAGGGTCGCCGTCACACCTAGGGTTAGGGGATAGTTGAAACTCAACGGAACGTCAACTTATGTAGATTCGTCATTAGTTTTACCCAGGTGTATCGGACCCGATGGTAACTGTCCTAGAACACATTTATATACTAACCACCAGGTACCTATAGCACATTCGCGAAACCATCATCGCTCGATGAGACATCTAGATTTCAAAAAATGTATTAACCATCAGTTGCGCAGATTTTTCGAGCGGAGGTGCTTATTGCAAAGTTATTTTAGATGTTATTTTATTCTTTTGGTGTGAATACATCGCGATTATTTAAGACATATTTCGTGCGGTTTAGTATTCGAAAAGAATATATTTCTCGATACATCGTAGAAAATAGGAGTCGCTTCAGGAAGATGTCTGCTGATAAAGTTTGGATCAATAGACGGATCGTGCTTGAGCTTATAAACATGGCGCGTAATTTGCACAAAACAGCGCGTTTGAATTCTGCCAATGGTGAGAACGTCCTGAGCTTTTGTCGTGATGTCGTTACCAACGAAAGAGGGCGGTAGCATTGAAGAGCTGCAAATGAGGGAATTAGTATACCCGTAGAGATGGGCGATGTTGAAAAAAATAATTGGCTTCTAAAAATTGATTAAAAAATATATAAATTATATTTTTATAACTGATAAAAAATGTTGAAATATTTTGTGATGTAAATTAAAAGTTCGGAAAATGTATAAAAAACGCTCGGTTTAGCTTTAGGTTTGGCACCGACGAGCTAATAGCAGAGAGGACACGAGAGCGGCTAACACGGCGTTTTCGGCGACACCGACTTTCCGCACTGGGAAAGGGCGCCATCTAAAAAATGTCCCGAGACGTGCCTACGAAAAATGTTGCATGTGGAGAGTACTCAGCGCACGTACCATCTTGGAATGAAATACCGCGAAGGAAACCATTCTCGTTCCTCCAACTTGCGCTTTACAAGTTTCGGGATCTATGAAAATTTCAAGATCAGATGCTGCTTGTTTGAGAGAGGCTTTTAGGATGCTTACGATAACGAGAGTGGAGCGAGTGAGATCTGGATCTGGAGAGGGCAGTACACATTCCCATCTACAAAAAGATGGATGCAGATGGTGCCATTTCCCAGTGCGGAAAGTCGGTGTCGTCAAAAACGCCGTGTTGGCCGCTCTCATGTTCCTCTCTGCATCTACTATCAGATACATCAAATAGTCGGATGAAGAAAGCACAGCCAATCCCGACCGGGAAATTTTTCGTTGCTACCAATGACGGGAAGAAATATTCTAGAGTTGTCGACAGCCAGTCTTTAGTAGTAACTAGTCTATGGCCGAATATAAAAAACAATTAATAACAGATAAGCTTTGCAGAGATAGCTTCATAATGGTTATCATATTTACGGTTATTAGCTAATGATGTGGAGTGTTTTCGGAAATAAATATCGAAAATAAAATGTTCATCAATGTAGCCGTTGAGTTCATTAGGCCTCTTTGGTTCGTAGAAGAGCCACTAGATGGCGACAGACAGTCCATTAGTTGGATTTCTTCGAACACAATTATACGAATATTATTTCAATTTCAAGATGTAGTTTCGGCAATCCTGACGTTCACATCGAGCAGAAGATCTTTTACAACATATTATTAAGATAACGTTCCGAGTTCCAATGTCGCTCATTATACCAGAGGTACTCATCTTAATTATACTTATATGTTGATTACTTAAAAAAAGAAACAGATATATAAAATCGCAGTTGTCTCTAATTGATACATGCGATATAATATCGAAATATTCAGCCTTTCGTTGATATTTTGCTCTTTGTTTTTTTTTTTTATTTTACTTTCGGGCACAGTACTAACTTTTAATGTAGCGTGAATAAAGGTCGCACGGTAACGACGCATAACCTATTCAACGGTTAACTGCATCGTCGTTATGTTTAACATCCGTTTGTTTCATTCTAGAACCGCGTCGGATTCTCGTTCCTGAGATGTTCCTGGAAGATGTCGCCGCAATGGCATTTGAACGTAAAATCGTCAACACACATAGGCTTCGCGCGTATACGGTATTCATTTATTTTACCTCTCTATTTACATTTTTTTGTTAAACATTGAATGTGTTTTGGTCTTCTGACTTACGAGAAAGATGTATTGAAATATATTTCAGGAGCACGAGTGCTTTCGCGTCAGTGAATGTTTAGCGGCGGCTTCGCGATCTTTGATGTCGCAACGCGCCCCGCAAAAGTCCGTGCGATTCGTAAGTTTGCCGAGTTCTCTGGCGCACTTCCTCGTTTTCTCGTTAATTACAAACAGCCTGCCGCTCGTCTTCTCTCGTTGCTCTTGCGGAATCGGACGTCTGTAACACTACACCATTCCTTTCGGCGAACGGCATCAACGGCTTCATTTTCACGTGAGAACGACTGTTGCACGTCGAGGTCGGCATAAGCGGAATTACGCGATTGAATTCTCGATTAGCCTCGCAATGATTCGCAACGAACGCTTCGATTAACGATCGTACAAGCGTGGATACAAGCGCGAATAAATGTGACACGTTATCTCCGCGCCGAATTTTCGTAAGAACGTTCGAGCAATCCCGTCACAGAATCCAAATTAACGTTTATTTAACAGTACCGTTTATTACATATCAGACATCTCTCTATTCTATATCTGTATTCATTAAATATCGTAATAATCGTCAAGTATCAGATTCAAGGTTCATCGTTTATTTCAATTGCGTAAGTGTTAGATTATTAAATCTTTGAGGTTAAACGCATATATATCGACGCGTTCTTCGACGTAAATTACGGGTCTCCATGGGCGGCATTCAAACTTTGACCTGATATTTCAAATCAACCTGAACGTAGGTTCAGATGGTCATGTGACATCGTTTAGCCAATGAGGCGGTTAGCGTATGGCGTTCTAATGTTACAACGAAGACGAGATCGGTAGTGTTGACGTCGGGATATTATTGTCGTGATATTGTCGTTAGAAGTGAGCCTCACAGCGCGAAGTGACTTTCCTGAGGTAATTCGCGATTCTGCTCCGAGTGTTTGTAAACAAACAGTCGGCGGGCCGCGGTCGCTCGGTTAGTCAATCAGAGTCATTCAGTCGGTGAGGCGGCGGGTCCTAACCGAAAAATTCGCGACGCGACTCGTCGTCCCGTCCCGTGGTGATTCATTTAGACGGTAGTCAGACGAGAGACAGGCTCAATTACACCCGCGGCAAAAAGCCGCGCACGGGCCGACCGACCGGCGGTCGCTTCCTCGTACGACGTGCGTGGTCCGCGGCCGTCCGCCAGCCGAAACCAGACGAGATGCAACAAGACAAGGCGCGGGTGTCGTCGGAGACCACCGTCGGCTCGTGTCCTCCGTCAGTCGAGCGCGGCACCGTGATCATTAAGACGGCCCCTTTGTCGCATTTGGCGAACGCTTTGCGAGCATCCGACCGAGCATCGCGCGAGAGCTGTCTGTCGCTTAACGACACCCGAGCACGCTCTCCTCGGGCACGCCGCGATGCAGTGCGCGCGGACATCCGGACGATGCGGTTAGAATGCACGCCGACGATAACCACTGCCGAGAAGCCCACGGCGCACGGAGGACATTTTCAGTGAGTAGCTACAATGTATATATTATCGCTAGAACTGGCATCTGTTTACAACAGTGGCCAAATTTACATGTCATATATGTGTGACGATTAATCGATAGCTTTTTTCCGATATTTTTCTAATTATACACAATAATTTTTTTTTATATTTTTGTTTAACTGTACAAAAATTTTTACCAAACTATAGAATCATCACACTGAGAGAAAAGTATATGATATTTGGAATACTATAATGATATAGTAACTAAATTATAGTCCGAAATATCATATTTATAGCAAGTATTATCATAATATCGGTAATAATTACGATATAGGCATAGTATAACCAACCATGTAATATTTTTACTAAGAATTATAGTAAGTTAAACTAAAATTATTGTATAGATACAAATATAAAATGATAGGTAAAGTAACTCTTTTATATAGTCAATATTACCAGGATATTTGCCAAATGATGACAGATGTAACTATATGAATATTAAATCTCACTCATATTTGTGAATGAGAAATTAGAATATATGTGGTAAAAGTAACTAAACGCAATTATTTAAGACAATCATTGACTATATATTTATGTTTATTCTACTATATTTTGCAGGTTCCACGAACTATAAAAATATGGTTGACGCCAAAATAAACTGTAAAATATAGTGAGATTATAGTTAATTCAACTATATTTTTCTATCAGTGCATTATCTGTAGAAACATCATTTAATGACGCATCGTCTTTTGGTCTGCCGGGGCTGCGAGGGGCGTCGACCTCATCGACCTCGCGAACGGTAACGCGTTATGGAATATATCTTTTTTCCTGTTGTCGTCGTCGCGATTGCAAATTTCACACGATGGAAAGCCTCAGCGCGATCGCGGACCCGCGGTTCTTCGCCGGTGGCTATCGGCGCGCAACTCGCTCTCGGATTCGCGGGAATCGTTCTTGCGCGCGACGTGCACAAAGAGAACGCAGTGGCCGTTCTCGGAGGAGTCGAGGTGGTTAATCGGCCGGTTAGTACGGCCGGGGCAGGGCAGGGCAGGGCAGGAGGGGGAGGCGGGTAGAGAAGTTTGCTCGAAAACAATGGTCCTCGGTGTTGATGGCGATATTTTAATGAAGTTAGCAAGTTCCCGGTATAGCAACGCCGCGCCCTCGTAGACGCGCTTCCAAGAGCGTATAAACGTCCCGCGGGGGAGCCTCCTCTCTTTTTCTCCCCTCTCTCTCTCTCTCTCTCTCTCTCTCTTTCTCTCTTTCGCCCTCGCGAGAGGCAAGGGACGGAGGAACGGCAGGCGCCACTCGACCACTGATTTCCACTTACCGATATCCTTCCACAAAGCTGCCTTCATTTGCCGGCCTACGCGCGGCCGTTCTCTCGTTAACTCGATGTTGCCGATCTCTCGAGCGGATTTAAACTCGCGGAAAATGAGCTCAGGCCGTGCATTATCGCGCGTTATCGGCCAGAGGAACGAGATCGTCGAGCGGAAATTGACTCGGGACTTGACTCCCGTGTCGTCCCGGGACGACGAAGGACCCGTTGCGTTCAACGTTGCGCGATTCCGCGCCCAACCGTCGTTTCGATCCATCTGAATTTTCCTAAAGACAGAGAGAGAGAGAGAGAGAGAGAGACGTGTGCCGAAAATCCGTGCCGTGCGCGCGACGATGCCTACGGCCATGATCGATCCGAATGACAAACAAGTTACGCGTGAAAGGAGAGATTCGCGTCAGGCGAATGGATGATTCACGATGAGAGAGAGAGAGAGAGAGAGAGAGAGAGAGAGAGAGAGAGAGAGAGAGAGAGAGAGAGGGAGAGGGAGAGGGAGGGGAGAGGGGCTGTTGACGATTAGCGTTAGCAGCCGTGTATCAATCGAAGAAGCGCGGCGGATGAAAATCACGTGTGCAAACAAGTCGTTTTGCATGCGTCGGGGCAGCCGGATTAACTTGATCGATGCCTCGGCCGCGAAATGAAGAGACGCGAGCCGCGATTCGCGGAGATTTACGCCATTTTATCGCGGGTTGCGGGAGCGACGAAAGAGAGAGAGAAAGCGAGAAGCGGCGTGTGTTGTTCAACAAAATCAATCCATCGTGTCTTCTTTCTCTCCGGACCGGGTTGAATAATCTCGAAAGCCTCTCATCAGTCTTCAGCGAAAGTGGCCTCCGGCGCGCGGGTGGAGGCGGAAACTCTCATTGCTCGCGTTGTTCTCGGCGGAGCGGAGCGACAGATTCGACACGGATGATAAAATTCGTCGCGATAACGCATCGTCGCGCGTTTCTCGCGCCGTTGAGCCGCCGAGGCCGTTATTGAGATTTTCCACTTTGTATTCGGGTCGGGCTAATTAATTTGCCTCTAATTAATTACCGACAATTGCTCGAGCTCTAATTACGCGCGCTCTCGATTAGAATCTGCGAAAGTTACGTCCGAACGGAACAATCTTAAGGTCCCCGGTGCACTCGCATGCGAGTTCTCGTGAATAGAATTACCGTGATAAGACTTGACCAAAGCT